TATGGTGGCCTCTCTTGTTGCGGAGCGCAGGCTCAGTAGTTGTGGCTCACGTGCCTAGTTGCTCTGCGCCATGTGGGATCCTCCCAGACCAGGGCTTGAACCCGTGTCCCCTGCATTAGCAGGCAGATTCTCAACCACTGTGCCACCAGGGACGCCCTGATTTACTTCTTGATTTCATCATTGACCCATTGGTTTTTCAGTAACATGTTACTTAGTCTCCGTGTAATCGGTTTTTTTTTTTCTTGTTTTTCTGTGGTTGATTTCTAGTTTCATGCAACTGTGGTCAGAAAAGATGCTGAAATAATCTCTATACTCTTAATCTGTTGAGGCTTGTTTTGTGCCCTAGTATGTGGTCAATCCTAGAGAATGTTCCACGTGCACTTGAAAAGAATGTGTATTCTGGGTTTTTTTGTTGTTGTTCTTTGTTTTTTTTTAAAATCTAATGTCCTGAAAATATCATTAGTCTAACTGTCCTGTTGTATCCTTTAGGATCTCTGTTGCCTTACTGATTTTCTATCTAGAAGATCTGCCCATTGATGTGATGGGGTGTTAAATTCTCCTGCTATTATTGTATTCCTGTCAATTTTGCCCTTTGTTAGTATTTGTTTTATGTATTTGGGTGCTCCCATATTAGGTGCATATATGTTGATGAGTGTAATATCCTCTTCTTGTATTGATCCTTTTTATCATTATATAGTGTCCTTCTTTATCTTTCTTTATTGCCTTTGTTTTAAAGTCTGTTTTGTCTGATGTGAGTATGGCTACCCTTGCTTTCTTGTCATTTCATGCCATGACAAGACATCTTTTTCCAGCCCCTCGCTTTCAATCTGTGTCCTTTGCCCTATAGTGGGTCTCTTGTAGGCAGCATGTTGTAGGCTCATGTGTTTTTTTTTTAATCCGGTCTGCCACTGTGTCTTTTGATTGGAGCATTTAGTCCATTGACATTTAAGGTAATTATTGATATGTATTTATTGCCATTTTAAACCTTGTTTTCGAATTGATTTTGTATTTCTTCTTTGTTCTTTTCCTTTTGAGTTCGATCTTCTTTTATATTATGCTTGTGTTCTCTTCTTTGGTTTTTGTGAATCTATTATATGTTTTTGATTTGTGGCTACCCTGTTTTTCAAGTATGTTATTAACCCCTTCCAATATCTATTTGCTTTAGACTGGTAGTCATATAGGCTCAAACACATTCTGAAAAATATATATGTATATTTTCTTGCTCTTCTTCCCCACATTTTATGATTTTGATGTCCTCTTCTACATCTGCATGCCTGTGCTTTTGCTGTTCATTGTGGTTGTCATTGCTTTCACAGAAATCGTATTTAAAAATTTTTTTTAAATCTGTGTACTGGCTTATTTAAGTGATTTACTTTCCAATTGTGATTTTCTCTTTCCTATAGATTCTTGCTTCTCTTCTATTTAGAGAAGACCTTTCAATATTTCCTTATGACAGGTTTAGTATTGCTGTGTTCTTTTAGTTTTTTGCTTGTCTGAGAAATTCTTTCTCTCTCCTATTCTGAATGATGATCTTGCTGGGTAGAGTATCCGAAGTTGCAGATTTTTCCCTTTCAGGACTTTGTATATATCTTCCTTCTCCCTTCTGGCCTGTAATGTTTCTGTAGAGAAATCAGCTGATAGACTTATGGGGTTCCCTTCTCATAAACTCTTTGTTTTTCTCTTGCTGCCTTTAGAGACCTTTCTTTAACTTTTGCCACTTTAATTATGTCTTGACGTAGGTCTGTTTGGGACACTCTGTGCTTCCTGTATGTGGATATCTGTTTTGTTCTTTAGGTTTGGGAAGTTTTCAGCCATAAATTCTTCAAATACATTTTCGGTCCCCTTTTCTCTTTCTTCTCCTTCTGGGATCCCTATTCTGTGTAGATTGGCACGCTTTATATTATCCCATAGGTCTCTTATATTGCTCTCATTTTTTTTTTTCATTTGGCTTTCTGTCTGCTGTTCTGATTAGGTGATTTCCATTATTCTGTCTTCCAGATCACTTATTCGTTATTCATTATTCAATCTGCCTTTTATTGCCTTAAGCTTAGCTTTCATCTTGGCAAATGAGTTTTCTAATTTTTTTTTTGGCTCCTCTTTATAGTTTCTAGTTCCTTGATAACGGTAATCTGCACCTCTATCAATAGCCCTTCTTAATTCCTTTAGTATTTTCATTATCTCCTTTTTGAATTTGGTGTCTATTAGACTGAAGAGGTCTGTTTCATTGTTCTTTCAGGGGAACTCTCTTGACCTTTTAACTGGGAGCGATTCCTCTGCTTCTTCATTTTATTTATGCTTCTCTATGAGTTTAGGAGAAACAATTATCTACTGTGGTCTTGGAGGGCTATTTTTATGCGGGAGTTTCCCTGTGTAGCTTGCATAGGTTTAATATTTTTGGTGCTAGGGCTGTTTTGAGTACGGATGCCTGCCGCCTCTTTCCTCAGTGTGTCCTGGCCGTCATCCCCCTGAAAGGGGGTGCAACTGGTGTTGTGGTGACCAGAGCCTGCCCAGTTGTTGAGCGGGGCCTCCTCTTTGCTCTGTGGTTGTCACTGCCCTGTTGGGGGCAGGGTCTGCTCCCCAGCTGTTGGAGCAGAAGCCCCTGGATCCGTTTTCAAGCTGCAGTGTGGGGTAGGCAGGATTGGAGTGGTCCCACTGGGAGAGGAGCCACTGAGTATTGCCCCGCTGGAGTAGTCCCCACGTGCAGAGCACACTGCCTGGTGTCACCTGTCACCCATTGCGTGGCTCCCAAAATGCACTGTTGTTGGCACTCCTCTTGGCCTCACCTCCATGGTGGGGATGCAGGCAGTTGGCCTTGGTGTCCCTCAGGTACTGTGTTCACAAAACCACCAGTGCAGGTCCACTGAAGTCAGGTTACCAGGACTGCAGCAGTTACACACCTAGACCTGCTGTGGGAGCTACGGAAGCAGCTCAGACCCCGGCCCCGCCCCATGTGTGCACCCACACAGAGCCCACAGCTGCTAAGGCCGGGCCTGTCCCAGCCATGGAAGCACCCGTTGTCCACCCAGCACTGAGTTTGCAAAGCTGGCGGCGATGGCACCAATCTGCGGACTGTACAGCTACAGGGAGAGGGCTCTGATTTCAGCCCCGCCGCGGCGTGTGGACAGCCCACTGGCTCTTGTGCTCCCAGAGCTGGTGAAGGCAGCGCCGTGTCAGCTGAGAGTGCGGAGAAAGAGGCCGCTCTGGGGGGGGGGGCCCGGCCCTCCCTTTACGCACGTTAACAGTGGGGTTCCAACGGCGGTGCGAGCCGACTGTGAGCACGCGGAGTGAGGCTGCTCTGGCGGGCCCCACCTTTCCCTTCACGTGCCCCTTAACAACGGCGCTTCGCTTCTATGGCGGGTTGGGCTTCTTCCGCGCAGCCCATACTGCACTCCAGCCCCTTCAGGCTGTGTCCGTGCAGCCGACCCCAGTCCTCTCCCCTGGTCTGTCCTCTGAAGCCTGAGTTTCAGCCCCCAAACCCCGCACGTACCAGCAGGCGTGTGTTTCAGGCTGGGGACTGCAGGGAGGTAGCACAGACCCTCTGTGCTGGTCTCTCTCTCTTCTGCCTGCCGCACACCGGCTGCCTCGCTCGCCTCTGAGCCTCTGAAGCCCCCTTTCTGTCCCGGCTGATCTCCCCGTGAGTGAGGGTCTTCCAAGTGTGCGGGAACCTTTCCTCTTTCGCAGCTCCCTCCCAGGGGTGCAGGTCCCGTCCTGCTCCCTTTCTTCCCTTCATCCTACGGGGTTACGTGGAGATCTTCCTTGCACTTCTGGGTGTCTGAGGTTCTCTGCCAGGGCTCGGCAGGTGCTCTGTGAGAGCTGCTCCACGTGTAGATGTACTTCTGATGTATTTGTGGGAGGGGGCGAGCTCCATGTCTTTCTATTCCACCATCTTGGTTCAAAGTCCTGGGCTTTGTCTGCACAGAGACACGATCCTGGGCTTATCTGGATGCAGCGTGTATGTTGTTGTCTTCAGTGGCGTTCACATTTCTTCCACCCTTATTTGCAAAGTGAGACGGGATACAGACGGGTCACACTCCTCACAGGTGACCAGCTGCGCCCGGTCACCAAGCACTGGAAACGTGCCTGGCGCGAGTGAGGAGCTGTGCTGTCCATCTCAGTTTTGTGAATTTTAACTTAAAATGAACACCGGTGGGGGAGGGATAAATTGGGAGATTGGGATTGACATACACACACTACTATATATAAAATAGATAATAAGAACCTACTGTACGGCACAGAGAACTCTGTTCAGTACTCTGTAATGACCTATATGGGAAAAGAATCTAAAAAAGAGTGGATATATGTATAACTGATTCAGTTTGCTGTACACCTGAAACTAACACGACATTGTAAATCAACTACACTCCAATAGAAATTAATTTTAAAAAGTTGGCACTGACTCAGTTACTGGAAAACACCTTACCCTTAGAATAACTTGGGTATATATGTATTTTTAAACTGTAAGTGGTATGAAATATAAAAAAAAAGTAAAACTCAATTTAAAATATTACTTGTAAATGAAACAATATTTTAGATATAGTAAATAAAATTTTAGAAACTAAATCTAAAAGCTTTTTTACTGTGGCTACCAGAAACTTTAAAATTACGTATGTGGTTTGCATTTCTATTAAAAAAAACCTTGAGCCAGACGAAAACAACAGGACTAAGTGAAAGACTTCTTTTCCTAGGAGAAATAATTTTCTAACCTAATCAGCTTCTCTAAGAAGTTGATTTACTTTATTCTTAAATGTTCACATGTAACTTCCTCTGAGCCACCAAATCAATGCTTAGCAGCTGTGCAAGCCAGTTGGCTGCAGACAGCTCCTGGAGTTTTTAAGGATTATTCTTGGCAGCTTTTGAGAAAAACACTCATTGAAAGGTTAATCAAGTCAGTCATACTTGCATGTTGGTTAAACAAACCCCGCCTCCACTGAAGACTGAACAGGTGCATATACTCTACCCAGAAGGCCCTTATTCCATCATTATCTTCACTTTTCTTCAAGGGTGTAAGAAGGAGGGCCATATTCTGAATACTTTGCGATCAAGATTTTGTTCCAACTTATGAAACTCTTCTGTACTTCTGGGATTTTACAGATTCGAAATTATTTCATATCAGCACTCATTCCACCTGTTGTACGTGAGAAAAGGTCAGTTCTACAGGTAAGTATCCCTAAGTTTGCTTAAGTACAAAAGTATGAGCTAAAATGTACACACAGTTTGAGATACAGTTTGTAAAAATGCAAGTGCGTGCCAGCATGTGGTACACATCTGAACAAAACTGCTGTTCGGGTGTATTTTAAGGAGCTCAACAGATGAATGTTTCCAGTGGACAATCAGCGTATCAGTCACTCGTGTTGAGAGAGAGTGAAGGTGTACCCACACGGCAGCGGCCGGGTCACTGGGAAGTTGCCACGGGTCAAGGCTTTTGAGACGGCACAGGTCAGGCTGAAGGTGTTGAGCCTCTCTTTAAAATCGTGCAGTCGTGGGCGATCTCCTTCCCATTGGTAGGAGTAACTCCATGTGGTTCCACCATGAGTCGGGAGAGCACCTGAAGTAATGATGCCTTCAACGTGTATAACCAACGTCAGAGCCTTGGCGGGAATGCTGAGAATTCCTGGGATGGGGAGTTCACTAACTTTCTTAATACACGTGCTCCACTTAAACTGTGTTTAAGAATTAAACTGTGGAGACTGTGCAATTGGCGAGTAGACTTGGGAGTAGATCACAACTCCTTCTAGGAAGACATCTCAGACATTGCTATGGAGGCAAACCCAGTGTTTCAGGAACACACCTGACGAGCAGTGATGTGAGGGCAGTGCTGAACCTCTCTGTGACAGTATCGTTCTTGAATATATTAATAAATGTAGTATATTATATATTCATGTTAGTAATTACTGATAAGGTGGTAGTCTCCAGTATGCTTCTGTACCTACAACCCAACAGGACGTGTATGAGAGCCATGCCTGGAATAGATGCGGGATATATATATATATATGGGTGTTTGTGGTATTAACGATTCTGGCTGGCTGGCGCCTGCCTGTTTGTAGTAATTGCTACATATTCTGAATATGCCTCTGCCCAGGAATTTATTTATTACCTGGACAGAAATGGCTACCTTCCAGAAATTATTTCTTCGGGAGAAAATTTACTAGAAAATATTTTGCCTGGAAATTACTTAACATGTGATCCAGTTTAATGCAAATCATATAAATTGTACAAAAAAATGTGTAATAACAAAGGACCACTCAATTCTAAGTTCAAAAGTACATTTATTTAAAATGTGGGCAAGATATCAATATAAAAGAAAAGAGTGTAAGAAATAAAAATAAGAGTACAAAACATTTCAAATCTTTAACATCCATAATTTAGAGATAGCAAGGTCTTTATTTACACCATTTCATTTGCAGCTAAAGTTCCATTAACAGTGTTGTGAAAACATTTAAAAACCCGGCAAATGAATCATAAAACCTAACGTGGGCTCTTAAAGTCATATAATACAAAACATAATTTATGTTTCCTCAGAATAAAATTGCACATCTTAATAAGATGCAGTATATTTAATGTATTTGTCTTCCTGCTTTAAAATGCTTGTCCCCGAAGAAAGCAGCTGGAAAACAAGGGCGTCTCAAGGGCGCAGGGGCCGCTCCATCCGGCAGCTGACACAGCCAGACCCGTGCGCCGGGCTCCAGTCACCAGCGCAGGTGCGTCAGTTAAATTTATATGTAAGCTCGTTGAGGAAAACAACTGCCAAACAAACACAATGCAAACTAGTGACAGCATCCAATACAGGCCGCACGCTGAGGTGGTGAGCTTCGGGCGCCCGAGCCCTCGCCAACCCCTGTGACTCTGCACCATCCACCCGGGGCTCCAACCGTCCTGGGGCAGAGTGACGCAGGCTCCTTTCAGGCTACAGATGCAAGAAAAGGGGCCCTGAGATGACACCCACCAATCACCCAAAGGTAGGAAAAAAAACCCAGAGAGATGTAACAGCACATATTGTACAGAAACAAAATCTCCAAAAACGTAAGGGGTCTTTTATCATTTTTTTTTGTCGCCAACTCTGGAGATACGGAACACACACAGCTCAGATACTAGTGCTGAGAGGGTTTCTGCACACACATCTTTCAAAAGGATATGATTCATAGTCCAGTGTTTGTGTGAGCACTCCAGTTAGAACAAACTCTGCATTATGAACATCTGAAAGGAACGAAAACAAAAGCCGTTAAATGAATGCACTGCCGTGCGTGCACCTACACACTCAATACAGAGCAAGAGGAATAAACCATACCTATTCCTCTGGCAAAATATTCTCGACACAAGTGAAGGTCATTTTCACAGGATATTAAAATTATTTCTGACAAACTCTAATGAAAAGAAAATTATTAGTTACTGAACAATGGCTCTTGTACACAACAATGATGAATTCAATAGCGTATTTTGCTTCTGTCCACCTTATTTTGCGTATGTTCCATGAGTTTCCGGAAAGACGGCTGTTTAGACAGTACTTTCCCTCCTGCGCATTCCACAATCGCTTTCATAGTTGAAAGACTTGGGCAGATTCCAGGAGTGATGTAAAAATATTTCGCCTAAAAATCAAATGAAAATATGTGTATTATGTTTTTTAAATGGAATTTTTAGTGTACATAATTTCTCACTCTACCCTGAGATTTTTGACAAAATGTCTAATTTCAGGGGGATACACGTACTAGCCCTGGCTAGTCCCCAGTCTGAAGTGGGCCTGGGGGAATCCAGGTGTGTCGATTCAGAAGTGACTTCAGCACTTTCCTATGTTAGGTATGACCTATGTATATATTAACGGCAACTAGAACTTATATTCCTAAAAGACATGAAGTACTCTGCGATGAAAGCAAGAATAGGAACACTCTTCTCAATTTCTATAAAACTGTAAGCTGAAACAGAATAGGAAATGGTTTTGCTGGTTACAATTTTCTAAGTGTACCAAAAATACTATTTTGTTTTAAACTCAAATATTTAGAAAAATCAGACTATCTTAGGTAGAATACTCTTAACTCAGTATTGCAAATCATTTCTGATTCCTAAATTGGCTCCTGAAGGGTAAAAAAAAATGATTATTAACTTACTGAGCCACTGTTTGACAAAGACAGTTTTCCAGAGTGTTCTATCTTATCTAACAAATATTTAATATTCTAGTCTAGAATTATTAGGCACAGATTCAATTAATATGTTCCCAAGGATGTTCTCCATTCTCTAGCTGAGTATATACATTTAATGAGAATAGTAGTAAGTAATGTAAGTTGTTAAAAGCAAAAAAATCAATTTAAATGTCTCCTACATATTCATACACGTACTCTTTACAGAACCGGGTATCTGTAATGCATCTCCCTAATCTGTTTAACTGTGTGTGGATTCTCTTAGCTATGGGAAACAGCAGGACTGCAGGTGCCGAAGACCCCCAGAAGCACCCTGCCCGAGGAAGGCCGCCCATGCGGTGGGGAAGGTAGGTGGTGGTGGTGGGGGGGGCGGCTCCAGGGAGGCCCCTGCTGTCGCCCTCAGCTGTAGCGGCTGTCGCGTCCAGGGGCCTTATCTGACTTCCCTCCCAAGCGTACCTTAAAGAGCGGAGACACGCGTGCCCTCCTCAGGGACTCCTCCAGACTGAAGGAGAAAAGCACCTCGGCCTCGGCGTCTCGGAGAACGTAGCTCTGCTCATCTGGAAGAGAGAACAGCACACTGTCCAACAGTGCCCGGGGTGCAACGTGCCACCGGCTCCAGGCTGCCCCCTGTCAGGTGCGTGTGATCCACGGCTCACATTTACCTGTGAACAAAAGCCTCACCTGTTATACTTGTCAGTTACTTTTCTCCTGAAAACAGCCAGGCCGAAGACACTGTCCCTCCTTGGTCAGTGTTTCTTAGCGTTTGGAAAAAACTGGACTGAGAGCTCTGTCCCCTCCACACCCCTCAGCTGTAATCTCACCGTCCCAGGGCGCCCACAGGCCCAGGGGAAGAGCTCCAGTCCCGGAGGGAGAGCCGCGAACTGTTGTCGTGTGTGTGTGTGTGTGTGTGTGTGTGTGTGTAGGGACCACAGTGACTCCAGAGCCATTAGCCTCAATTAGCTGAGATTTACCATAAACACGTTCCTTTTAAATCTATGAATATGTACAGCAATTTATAAAGAATGGTTTTACCAAATTTTGAAGATTTAAGAATTTTTAAGAAATATCTAATTTGTCAAAAGGTAAAGATCACAAAATATTTTAATCTTCTTATGAAATACATCTCGTTCAGAAAATCATTTCTTCTTCATTTCATCATAATAACCAAACTGTGTAACACAGCCCAAAGCAGGGAGAGTCTAGGGTCAGGGTCAGTTGGATGACAGGCCATATACTTTTGAGACATGCCCTTCTGTTTTTGAAACAATGCCTTAAAAATGTAAAAACCATTCTGAGCTCAAGGACCACTGGGCAAGAGCAATCATGTCACTAAAGAAACGCTGAAATTTAACAACTGCTAGAAATACAAAATGGATCAGCCATCAGCAGATAAGGCACTATACTGGTTTAGGTGGAAGACGATAAGAATTTCTAAAAAGATGATGAATTTAAAAATGCACAAAAATGTACTGTCATGCATGAAGTGATGATATATTTGTTTTGTTTTAAATATTTATTTATTTAGGGTGTGCCAGGTCTTAGCTGCAGCATGCAGGATCTTTTTTTTTTTGTAGGGATCGCACCTGGGCCCTCTGCATTGGGAGCATGGAGTCTTAACCACTGGACCACCAGGGAAGTCCCTGAAGTGCTACATTTGAAATGTAAGTGTCCATGGCAAAATCAAGGTTGATATGCCTTCTGGAGAGCTATGAGGGAGTGCCAAGAAGTAGTTAATATTTATGATAAGAGACGATGACACTGAAATATAACGAAGTAGCTAAAACAATCCTGTCCCAGAGGAGATGCTGACATTTTGGTTTTCTAAAAGAAGCAGCAGAGTTACATTAACTTGCTAAGAATCCGTAGAAACAGTCAACCTGAAAATTAAACTTTTCACAGCAGCACAGAGGACATGCGTCTTCCAGAAAGAGATTATAGAGTTTGAGACACCAATTTTATAAATTAAATACAAAATTCTGAAATTATCCCTACCACTTCTTGAACAATCCAGTTTTAAAGCTGTCAGGCCCGAGGGCGTCATGACGCCCAGTGAGAGAGGGGCTGCACTGCAGGGGCAGTGGCGGTCCACGTGCTACTGACCACACACGGTGCAGCTTAGCAAGTAAGTTAACAATAACAAGCTCATTAGGACACTGGAAGCCGGACTTCTCACTGTTGTTGGAGAAAGGATTACAGACAGAGGGAGGGAGGAAATGAGGACGAACCGCATGGTGGCAGACTGGCATCGGACAGACAGACACAGGAAGAGGGTTCAGGAGCAACACCCCAGGGCCACGAGCACCGTCCGTCCACTCCCAGGTTTACACTGAAAGGACTTGGGGATCCTTGGGAAAACGCTGGTGTGGAACCAGGGCAGAGAAGCATTAAGATGAGCCCAGAACATTCTTGTTTTGCCAAAAGCTACCACGTGGTCAACCTGACAGGAGAGGTGGACAGGACACGGAAGCCAGCCTGAGTGGCAATCCCTGGTCACAGTGGGGACGATGTGAGGGTCAGTGACAACAAGACGGTAACAAGGAGACAGAAAGGAGCCCATGTGGGGAAATAAGGGAATAAATCAGAAGTCTGACAGGGAACAGCAGTATCTGCGAAGTTTCAAAGTGCTTCCCATAAATGACTCGTCAAGGAGCCTGGCCAGCTTGCACCTGCGTCGAGGGACCACCGTGAAATCACCTGCAGGACGACAACCCTGCACTGTGCAGCCCCCTGGCAGGCTGCGAGGTGGGGGAGACCGCAGCCATGTGATGGTCCCGCCACAGACGCCATCTGCCCACCCCCCTCGGGAGGAGACAGTACACACACCAGACGGAGGGCATTCTGTACAGTGACAGACCTAACTGACCAGACATCTTCAAGTGACAAGAACAGACGGGCTCTTCCCAGACTCAAGGAGACTACACGCAACGTGTGATTCAGAACTAGGTCCTTCTGCTCTAAGGGGTGATGCTGAGACAACGGGCGGATCTGAATGGGGATGAGGCAGCAGCCATGGATCGACGTTGATTTCCTGACTGTGGCCGTGTCGTGCCATCTACGAGAACATCCTTGTCTGTCTGGCTGTAGGAAACACACATTGAGGTGTTGGGGTTAACAGAGCATTATTTGGGCAATGGACTCTCTAATGGATCAGGAAAGAGAAGCTATGTCTGTACTATATAGGCAACTGGGTGACTGATCGTTTCAAAAAAACTTTTTAAATTCAAAAGCCAAATAAATGGGTTTTAAAAATATCCATAAAACGTTAAAAGATGGAAAAAAGTAAGAAATGAATCAGAATGCAGAATTTCAGATACTGCCAGAACTAATACCCTAGGGTTAGTATTCTTCTTGAGAAATTTCAGGAACAACCTCAAAATGTAAACTTTTGGCAAAACAAAATGTCTCAAGTCTGTATTAAAAGTAAATGACTAGGGGCTTCCCTGGTGGCGCAGTGGTTGAGAGTCCGCCTGCTGATGCAGGGGACACAGGTTCGTGCCCCAGTCAGGGAAGATCCCACATGCCGCGGAGCGGCTGGGCCCGTGAGCCATGGCCGCTGAGCCTGCGTGTCCGGAGCCTGTGCTCCGCAACGGGAGAGGCCACAACAGTGAGAGGCCCGCGTACCGCAAAAAAAAAACAACAAAAAAGAAGTAAATGACTAGTGGATATCATATAAATGATTTTAAAGTTTATATGACAACACAAAAGACACAGCACAGCCAAACACAAAACTAAAACTCCTAAACTCCTAAAAAGGTAACAAGAGAAAACCAAGATGGCTTTAGGTACAGCAATGACTAGATACAAAACCAAAGGCATGATCCACGGAAGAAATAACTGACAACCTGGACTTCATTAAAGTCGAACACTTCCACTCTGTCAAAGACAATGTCAAGAGAATGAGAAGACAGACTGGGAGAAAATATTCGCAAAAGATGCATCTGATGAGGACTGTTTGTTTGTTACCCAAAATATACAAAGAACTCTCAAAACTCAACAATAAGAGAACCCAGTTAGAAAATGGACAAACGATCTGAACAGATGCACGACCACAGAAGATATACAGACAGCAAATAAACACGTGAGAAGACGCTTAACATGGTATGTCATCAGGGAAATGCAAATTAAAACAAAAATGAGGTACCACCACACAACTCTTAAAACGGTCAGAAAAACTGACAACACCAAATGCCGGCGAGGATGTGGGGCAACAGGAAGTCGGCTGATGGAACGCAAACTGGTACCAGCGCTTTGGGAGACGGTTTGATGGTTTCTTACAAAACTAAACCTACTCTCATATGATTCAGCAATTGCACTGCTCGGTATTTAGCCAAACGAGTTGAAAACTTACATCCACACAAAAGCTGCACACAGAACACAGCTTTACTTGTAATTGCCAAAACTTGGAAGCAACCAAGATGCCCTTCAGTAGGCGAGAGGATAAATAAACAGGTCCGTCCAGACGGTGGGATAGTCTTTGGTGCTAAAAAGAAATGAGCTAAGAAGACACAGAGGAAACATAAATGAACGTGACTGAGAAGCCAACGTGAAAGGGCTGCATCCTGTGCAATTCCAACTATATGACAATCAGAAAAGTTAAGAAATCCTGAAATTTGAGGGATCAAATATGAAGTGTGTTTGACTATTCAATGTTGACTATTCAATGTTTATAATAAGACCAGAACCACCTTATAAACCCTCAGAAGTCAACACAGCAAACATTAACGAGGCCATAAAGAAATGAAAGTCAGCTAAAACTGCCTATCAGATACGAACTGTTATAACATAAACAGATAAAAAATGTTTGTTTTCGCAGACTGGTAAGCTTGATAAATTAAGCAGCTCAAATTTCAGTTAAAGAACAGACTCCCTCATTCTGAACTTTATAGCTCATACAGTTGAGAGCTTATCTACGTTTATGGTATTGTTTCTACGTTTTTCTTCTTCTGCCTGCATTGTTATTTATATTTCACTAGTATCTTCTAAGAAAAAAATTTCTAAAATCTCAACTGAAAATTTCTAAACACTACATAATACAGTTGAACCTAGTTATTTGTGGATTTCGTATTTGTGAATATGCCCACTCGGTACAATTTATTTGTAACCTCAAAACCAGCGTCTGTGGTGCTTTGCAGTTCTCTGTGGACGTGGCAGAGCTGCCCACGCGGCGCTTCCCGCTGGGGCCGACACGGCGGCGCTCGCCCTGGTTCAGCTTGTTCTGAGAACAAGGGTCCTTCCGTGGTCCACTTAGTGCTACTTTCTTCACATTTCTGTGCTTCTGTCAGTGATTTTTGCTGTTTGATCGGCCTATAAGATAAGCACAGTGCTGTCCAGTGCCCTGAGGGCAACGGGCTGTGATGTGCCCTCGCAGAGGAAAACACACGTGAGACGAAGCCGCAAATCTATTCCGCAGAGAAAAGTCACTTGGAATCATATTCGCTCTGCGCTGAGTAGCAAGGCTCTAAAAACACTTGGGTGTACTGACGCATCTAAGAAAAAACCTATCTCTAAGTGTCACTGCCAGTAACAGGATTTCACTTTCGGTGCCCTGGACAGTGGGAGACGGGCAAGGGAGGGACACGCTGACCCTCCCACCTGCCCGGTCGTTGCCGGGCTCCCCGCCGGGCGCTGTACTGCATGTGGAATCTCATCCGACAGCCAGCGTTCCAAACAAAATACACTCCACTCACATCAGGAAACAACATGGCAGGGATGCAGAGCTTATTCTTCCCCCAATACCTTCCAAAAACCTCTGTATTTCATGGTAAAATGCAAAGATATCAATCAAGTGAGTGACTGGAACATGGAATAAGTTTATGAATTTACATGGATAAATAACAAAGAGTTATTTAACAAATGAACTAGATGTTTGCTGGGATGAAAATGGAGATAATGCCAAATTAAAAGGGTTTTTTCTTGAAGTAATAATAAGTTCACTGAGGTACAGATGCTGCTACTCACCAATGAACTTCTGACACTTGAAACACTCCTCCAGCCACTCCGGAGTCACGATGTGCTTCACCACGGAGATGGCCGTCAGGAACTTCACGGTGCGCGTCACCTTGCTGGAGATGAGGTGGGTGCACTTCTGTGCAGACTCGGCGACCTCCCCACCAAGAATGTAGAGCTTCTGGGGGTCACGAACACAGGCCAGAGGTGAGAGCTAGGCCTACAGAGCTGCACACGGCCTGGGACGCGTCTAAGACTACGAACAGAGTCCTCGGCCACGGAAAATGGTGCAACTGGTAAAACCTAACCCACGCCACTGTAGGAGGAAAGTGAAAACTAGGATTGACAATGTACATTTCCCTAATCAATGCTGTGCAGATCAGGGTTAAGGATTAAATACGACATCCCTATAAATAAGTAAAATTCTGAAAACAACGCAGCTCATTTCATAAGGCGCAAATCTGCCCAGGCTTTCTAAGCTGAAATGAGTGTTACTGAGGCACGTTAAAATACTGTCTCTATTTTAAGAAATGATGACCTAAGAATTGACTGAGAAGACATAAACATATAAAAGATGATCTCTTTAACTATACTCAATTTTAAAAGTAAAGAAAATAAATTATACTAAACGTAGAGTAGCATTTATAATTGTTTCTTTTCCTTAAAAAAAAAAAAAAAAAAATAAAAAAAAGTAAAACGTCTGAATCCATGTAACACAGGTCAACTCCTACTCTTAGCCATCGCCCTCCCCGTCCCCAAAATAACAAAACAAAATCCCAAAAACAAAATCCCATAATCCCTCCTGGTGTTACTTCCAAGAAGCTTATTTATCTAAATACACAAATACACCACCGCCCCTTGGGCCTACCCTCCTACCCAAGAAAACAAGTCTTGAAAGACTGTGGATTCAATCAGAAAACCTGAAGAGGCACAGCTACTCTTTTAAGCTAATGTCTTTATGAAAATGATGTCCGTGGGCTTGCTGATCATGTTCGCGTGATTATAGAAATGGTTCTCGGTCTACGCTCACCTCAATCGTTTTTCTCCTAATGAGAAAACGAGTATCTAAGTGTGAAGCAGTAGCAAGAATGAGGCGGGAAGTCAATGATGAGGTAATGACGACACACAGTTTATAGATACACACTGTAAACACTTAAAATACGATATTCCTGATTAAATGTTAGTTTAATTAGACTGCCGGCCTCAAGCAAATATAAACAGAAAGGAACATTCCTAAAAATCCTTACGCAAAATAGAATTAAAGTTTCACCTTAATATACTGTTGAACTTGAACAGGCTCAAATCCAGTGAAAAGCACAAAAGGGGTCAATTCTGGTGTTAGCTTCTTAGTGGGAGGTGGTATATCTTCAATTCTATAAAATACACATAGGAAAGACCGCCTATTATTTACTTAAAAATGTTCTTTGGCAAAGAAGGGATTTTAATAGCTTTAACAAGCTTTAAGTGTGTGTGGTGGTCTTTCCTTAAAGGGAAAATACAATGACTTACCTGCTCTTTTTTTCTTTCCCACCATTCACACACAGGCACCCCCAAAAGGCCTCCGTGTGGCACCTCCAAGGGAAGCAGCCAATCAACGCTCCACTTCATCAGCAGCCCCGCCCCCGCCCTCACTGGCCTTGCTGGTCCTGAAGAGCGGGAGGCCCCCCCACCCCAGGCTCTAGTCCTGTGTCTTCCACCTGCCCCGTCTCAACCCAGAAGGCACAGAACAAAGCTGTTTGACTCAAGCACACATTTTAAATTAAACCTCAGTCTTTTTCATTTCCTTAAATTTTCTCAAATCCTATTTTTAGCTTATATTTGAGACAGTCTATCCAATTAAGAAAAACTTATTTGTGGCATTTTAATGAAATATATAATCACATAATTAGGCTTTCACTAAAAAATCCAATCATTCCCAGACTGTATGGATGTGGGGAATGGCAGGAGGGAGAGCTGAGGGGCAGGGAAGAGAGGAAGCCCCTCGCTGAGCAGAGCACGGCCTGGAGGGCCTCTGGGTTCTAACGGAGCCGCCGGCTTCTCTTTACCAGGTGAGACCAGCGCACGTCTGCACACAGCCACCCCCTGCCGACCCGCCGGGTCAGGGGTCGGGACGCAGGCTCCCGGGCCCACACCCAGGACGCCTGGAGCGGGTTCCAGTCCCCCACCCCCGTTCCACCACAGCAGCTCACCGGGGGTTCTGGCGGCGGTTCTGGTTAAAGGAGAAGATTCAACTGTTTTTTTAATAAGAGAGGAAAAAACACTGGCTATTCCCTGTTTATCTCCAGCAATGAAATGAGACGTGCCACGATAAAGCTGTGACGCAATCAGCAAATCCTTCCAAATCCTATTCACTGTGAACATTTCAGGGAACTTTCCCAACTGCCACCATTTTCTAAAACAAACCTGTAAAAGCTCATCAACCATTAAAAGAAAAGAAAAAAAAAAAAGGCGATTCTTCGTACCTGGCTCTTTTGGAAGAGGGCTGGGTATTGGTTGCTTCATTCTGCTTCAGTTTGGGAGGCAGTCGTACACCCTGTGGTTAAAATATGATTTACTTTAATCAGTCTCCCCAGTAATACAGTCGCTTCCGAGAGCTTTCCACCTACCCCACTGCGTACGAGACACACGCACCCACCACCACGCCTCACCAGCCGAGAGACAGACACACGCGAGCCTTCCAGGGAAGCCCTGGGCTGGTGCCCTCATTATTCACCAGACCCAGCAGTTCTTTAAAACGTCTTCACCCCTCTCTCTGTTCACGTTACGGATTTAATCCTCAACCTTGAGCTTTTCACTTCAAATATTTTGTCTTGTGTCCCAGTTTGGGATTTGGAAAACACACTCGTTGCAACTACACGCCCAGAAAGAGACTCTTCCTGAACTGAGACGTCACCACGAGGGTCCGGGACGACCAGGCCACAGCGCTCTGGAGGGCGGGGCAAGGTGCTGAAGGCCGCCCCGGGCCCCAGGTGCGGGGCGCCCACGTTCCTGGAACCAGCTGGAGCCCCTGACCTGCGGAGACGCTGAGCCGAAGGGCAGGGGGAGGCCGGTGCCCCTGGAGGAACCCCCGAGTCAGCCTTCACCCTTGCCTCACCTCTATGCAGACCTTCGTCCACAAATACACTTTCTCTCTGTTTCACTACTTGAAGCAATGACCTCTCAACCTGAGATGACAGTGTAGATGCCCCCCCCCCCCCCCACCCCCCGCACTTGTTTCGTTAACAACCAACTGCTGGCCTTCAGGTCCAGAACGGTCCCTCCTGAAGGTACCCTATCAGAGCTCAGCCAGCGGGCTGGAACCCCACCTGGGACATGCGGGAACAGTCCCATCACGGTGAGGTCCGGGCTCCTGCAGAGTGAGCTGTGGGTCCAGGGCTACTGCACTAACGCCTCAGCTCTTGCCTCCCTGACCCTATGGAAACACGTCGTCTTACTTACTCAGCTCTCCGATTCTTTAAGCAATCGTATAGCTCTTTGAAGCGATAATGTTCCTAACGTGTATAAATATGAATAACAACTGACAATATCATCAATTAAGAAAAAAAAAGATGCAGGGTATACTAAACAGCTACGACAGGCGAGAAGATACAGCCCTCATTTGTTATGGTGACAAACTACTAAAAGAATTCTTAATTCACAGATACAAATGTATCCCTCCTGCATGTGTATAATACACAGTTAACAGCCAAAGTAAGGTTATGAGCTTGACATACCATCAGCAACTCTGCTGACACTTTCAACGGGACTCTCCAAGCATCTAAAGAGAGAAACGGGTTACTTTTCAGATATACTGTGTAAATAGATAAGCCGTGTTACAAAAGCCTTTTCATGACACATACACACACTAGTATACATGAAACAGATAACCAACAAGGACCTACTGTAGAGCACAGGGAACTCTACTCAATCCTCTGTAATGACCTACACGGGAAAAGAATCTTAAAAAAAAAAGAACAGATACACATGTATGTAAAACTGATTCACTTCGCTGTACACCTGAAACTTACACAACACTGTAAATCAATCAACTATCCTCCAATTAAAAAAAAAAAAAGGAAGTGTATCGTCAACAACAAAAACACAAAAAGCCCTTTCAGGAGCGGGTAATCCTGGACACAGGGTGGCTTGGCGGACAACCTTTAATAAGAGGAAAATGTGAGGACTGTTACTAAGCGGCTGCAGTGATGGGCAGGCACAGCAGAGGTTGCCCACCCCGCGTGTGCTGTCCCCCCGGCCAGTTCTGGGAGCCACACGGTCCGGCTTCTAAGAAACCGACTGCGAAGAGGGGGCTGACACCAAGGACCACAGCGCGCCGGGCGGCGACCGAGGGTGCGTGTCCACTGAGGACGAGGTGACGTCACACCAGCAGGTGCGTCACAGGGGAGCAAGCAGACCACAGCTCAAAATGAAGACGAGCCTTCTCGTGACTGAAGCCATTCAGACTGGAACTTAACAGGCTCCTTTGAGAGACAGCACGTCAACGCAGCGATCGAACTGAACGCCCGTTTTCTGGAGCACCGCTCAGTTCAGTGAATGCAGCAACGTTAAGTGCTGTACTGTGTACAGTCGGGGTAGTGATCCTTCCACCAGTTTTGCGCAGCTGAAGGGGAGGTGGGCTACGGCTCACGGGGGCGCCTTGGACAGACCAGAGCCGGCTTGAGACAAGATCAGCAGGCTTCTGCACGTTCCTTCTACCTCTGAGAGTCCATTTAGAAAAAGCAAACCAAAGCACACAGCAACAAAAACTCCTGGGCAGAGTGCAGACGAAGACAGTGTGGCAAGGAAACGGGAAATGAAATCAGAACGATGAGAGGGCCGAAGCCGAGACAGGCGGTGCTTCGTACGCAAGCTGGCGGCCACGTGGAACCGGCCCCGCTTACCCAGAAGGTTTGAGACCAAGTGCGGAGCCGGGGCGAAGGGGTCCTGCAGGCTGAAGGTGGTGTAGCGGCCGTACTGAATCTGCCGCAGGGCCTCCAAGTTCCCCAGGAGGATGTCTCCCAGCCACTGGGCGTTCACGCACGGGATCCTCCACTCCTTGGCTTTCTCGTACTTTAAACCAGTTGGTCTTTTTTTTTGAAGAGAAAACACATTTATTAAATGTTAGAGTTCTGTGTTCAAATTTATATTTATATTCAACAAAGCCAGTCCACATTTTCTCACACTAGAAAAGGCAGGGATGTTTCTGTAGAGCCGACCCTGGCTGGTAAGGAAGCGCACACATGGGTCACGAGATCATCGCTAGGCCTACCTTTACCTTACTGCTGTTACCCGGGCTAAACTGCATCTCGTTAATTCATCTAATTTAATTCTTCTGCTAGCATTACGATAAGTATCGTTGCTATCCTGTTAACAGACTTTGATGTTCACACCCTAATTTCCGTCACAAAACTGTGGCATGTTAAGAAACACAGAAGTGCTGAAACAGGCACTACAGTGTGTAAACTGAAGACTAGGTGCGGCTTCAGAACCGTGCTTACTCTTTACAGACGAGAACCGTGTTGCTGCGGCAGAGGTAGCCCGTGTACTTGGCACCTGCCAAGTAAGCCATTAACTTCAGGTCATCCCTGTCGCTGTCAACGAATCCAGTCACAGAAATAATCTAAGGAAAAAGAGCAAGTAAGGCCAAAACATAACGACAATTTAACCCAGTTAATAAAACTTTCTTCTACATTTTCCTTGTTTTATAGACACGTGTTTCCATTCCCTCTTTGGCATCACAAGAGGCATCTGGTGACATCATCTCTAAGAATGTCAAAACCAGAACTTTGTTAATGGTGAAAATGTTACACACACAGCCAGCAAGGGGATGGAAAAGAAACCTACCAAGTATGGGAAAACCATTTTTGTGTTACTACGACACCGTTCAGATAATCTTAACGAAGCTATTGTATTAAGCATGTAAATATTAGTTCTTCTTACTGATCCCAGTTTTGAGCTCAGCTAAGTGGGAGAACCCACAAGTGATAACGTCTGGCCAACAGCAGCCACTTCTGGCGTGAGTCGCCTGCTTTATCTCAGGAATTTATGAAACGGTGTCAGAGACTTAGGAGAGTCAATGAAACAGTGACTCCGTGCAGAAGCCGCGACTGTTACAGGAGAACAGAAGGAAGTGAGATGCCCATCGCGCTCGGCACCGGCCAGCGGGCCGTTCGCAGCCCACGGAGGACACGGGAGCAGACGACCCCCCCACCCCCGGCAGAGGAGGAGGGGCGAGCCTTACATGCTGGGAGCACGGCCTCCCCCCGGGCGGGAAGGCCACGGGGAAGTGCAGGGCCCGATGGGGCGGCACGAGCCGCTTCTTCTTCAGCACCGCGTTCAGCCAGTGCGCCGTGACACACCTCTTCCTCTCCTTCACCGCCTGCAAACGCAAGAGCACGGGCTGGTCTCGGGGGCTTTCACTGCAGGCTAAACACAGACTATAAGGCTGGACAGCTAACAAGGCCACCTTTAATGGGAGTCCTATAAATAAAGGAATTTCACGAGCTTGGCACTCAGTTTACTGAAGTCATGAACTGCAACGGTGTCGCAGGTTAATTTTAACACACCCCGAAAACACTACCGGCCACCCAAGAACGAGAGCCGACCACGGGGGGAAGAGCTACACGTCTGACAACCTGGAAATAACTTCAGTCACGGAAGGAGATGACATTTTCTGATCATCAAAATTAAAACCGCCCCATGAGAACACAGAGGGCCCCGCACACAAGTCACGAAAGAATGCAACTGCTCACCTAAAAGTAAGCCCAGAGCACCTCCCCACAGGCACCACTACCTGCTCTGTAACAGGGGTTCCTTAGAGGCCGTGTGTCACACACACTGACACCCGTCTGTCTACAGATAACATTTTTAAGAAAAGAGAAGAAATGAACTTTCAGGGGATGAGAGCAGGTAATACTGAGGAGGAAGCGTCTGCTCTGCAGGAGGACAGAAGCTTGGAGAGCTGACCGGGTCAGGCCTGCATACGAATCCCCCAACAGTTAAGAAATCCTGCTTCCGGCCGCTCTTCATTCAGTGTGGCCCTGGACTGGAGCGGAAGGCCGTCTACCCTCCCCTAGCACCACCTGGGATGTCCCCTTCTCCATTCCTCACAGACAGAAAGGCCTGGTGGCCACAGAGGTATCTATCTAACCCACCAAAGATCGAGGAGAATTAGCAAGAAGCAATTTTCTATTTTCAGAGGTAGAAAAGAGTCCTTTCCAAACACGATCATCACTAGAGTCACTTAGAACGCTAACACTGTCCAGAGAAAGGGACAGACTCGGTTCCATCGCAGCTGAGCCCCCACTCACCTGTGCGAACAGCCCGCTCACTTGACTCTCACAGAGCAGGTGTGTGCAGCGGCTCGAGAACGTGGGGTCCACAGCACCTCCGTGCGCCTGGATTATCTAGACACGCACAAGACCCAGAGTCACAGTCAACCTCCAGCGCTCAGGGGAAGCGGGAATTGTAATTTCAGATAAGACGGCTACTAAAAGAATCCATTACACATTTTCATCGTCTAGTTCCCCAAAAGTAGAAAAGATGCTATCGGCTATATCTACGGACTTTTCCACCCTGCACTGTACAATAAAAATGAACTTTAACACCATTCTATCTGAATTTCCAAAGGAAAAGTGGAATGCTTTTTCTAAAACAGGGTTTCTCAACTGGGCACTACGGACGTTTTACACCAGCTGACTGAGCCGCAGGGGGGGATCCTGAGCATCTCAGGGGGCCGGCAGCCCCCTGACCTCTCCCCGAGACGCCAATAACACTCCCCCAGCTGCGACAGTGAAAAATGTTTCAGACACTGCCAATCGTCCCCCGGGGCTAGAATCACTGCTTTTAAGAAACTTTATTCTAAAAGGGGGGAAAAAAACAAAACAAAAAAAAGGTCAAAATGAAGTCTGTGAACACCAGAAAATTATTTTTTTAAAACAGATTCAGTTTTTTGGGGTGAGGGGACTGTCCCGTACCTCGACGGCAGTGGTTACGTGGTTGTGTGGCACTAAGGGGAACTGGTCAAGACTTAAAACGCTGTATACCGAAAGAGCGAGAACTTTATATGTTAAAAAGGCCTGCCCCACGAAACAATTCCATTTCATTTACAACTTTAAAATTTTTTATTAAAAAAAGGTTTTTTAAACTGGAGTCTAGTTGACTTACAACGTGGCGTTAGTTTCAGGTGCACAGCACAGTGATGCAGTCACACACACGCACACACACATCCTTTTCTTGAAATATTCCTTCCCGTTACGGTTCATCACAGGATGCTAAACGCAGCCCCCTGTGCGCTACAGCAGGACCCTGCCGCCTGTCCGTTCTCTGCGCTCTCGCTTACGCCTGCTGACCCCACACTCCCTCCCACTCCATCCGCCCCGCAACCCGCTGCTTCTGGGCGACCACAAGTCTGTTCTCTGTGTTCATGAGTCTGCTTCTGTTTTGTAGATAGATTCGTTCGTGTAGCATTCTAGATTCCACATCTAAGTGATATCATACGGTATCTGTCTTTCTCTGTCTGGCTTACTTCACTCGGTATGATCATCTCTAGGTCCACCCATGTTGCTGCAAACGGCATTATTTCATTCCTTCTTATGGCTGAGTAATGTTCCGTTGTAGGTATGTGCCACGTCTTCCTTATCCATTCATCTGTCGACGGACATTTAGGTTGCTCCCACGTCTTGGCTATTGTTAATAGTGCTATGAACACAGGGGTGCGTCTTTTTGAATTATACTTTTGTCTAGGTTTATGCCCAGCAGTGGGACTGCTGGATCACACAGTAGTTCTAGTTTTAGCTTTTTGAGGAACCTCCGTGCTGTTCTCCATAGTGGCTGCACCAACTTACTTTCCCACCAGCAGTGTAGGAGGGTGCCCTTTACTCCACACCCTCTCCAGCATTTGTTATTTGTATTTGTTATTTTTAATGATGGCCGTTCTGACCTGTGTGAGGTGGTACCTCATGGTAGATTTGATTTGTATTTCTCTAATAATTCGTGATACTGAGCATCTTTTCGTGTGCCTATTGGCCATCTCTATGTCTACTTTGGAGAAATGTCTATTTTAGGTCCTCTACCCATTTTTCGACTGGTTGGTTTTTTGTGGTTGAGTTGTGTGAGGCTGTTTGTGTATTTTGGAAATTAAGCCCTTGGCACTTGCATCATTTGCAAAGATTTTCTCCCAGTCAGTAGGTTGCCTTTTCATTTTGTTTATGTCTCCTTTGCTGTGCAAAAGCTTGTAAGTTTGATCAGGTCCCATTTGTTTATTTTTGCTTTTATTTCTACGGCCTTGGGAGACCGACCTAAGAAAACATTGGTATGACTTAAGTCAGAGAATGCTTTCCCTGTGTTCTCTTCTAGGAGTTTTACGGTGTCATGTCTTACACGTTTAAGTCTTTAAGCCATTTTGAGTTTATTTTTGTGTAGGTGTGAGGGTGTGTTCTAACTCCACTGATTGACATGCAGCTGTCCAGCTTTCCCAACACCACTTGCTGAAGAGCCTGTCTCTTCTCCATTGTATATTCTTGCCTCCTTTGTTGAAGATTAACTGACTGTAGGTGTGTGGGTTTATTTCCGGGCACTCTATTGTGCCCATTGATCCACTGATCCATATGTCTGTTTTTGTGCCAGTACCACGCACTGTTTTGATTACTGTAGCTTTGTAGTATTGTCCAAAGTCTGGGAGGGTCATGGCTCCTGCTTTGTTCTTTTTCTTCAGGATTGCTTTGGCAATTCTGGGTCTTTTATGGTTCCATATAAATTTTAGGATTACTTGTTCTAGTTGTGGAAAATGTCATGGGTAATTTGATAGGGGTGGCATTAAACCTGTAGATTGCTTTGGGTAGTATGGCCATTTTAACAATATTAGTTCTTCCCATCCAAGAGCATGGGATAGCTTTCCATTTCTTTCAGTCATCTTCAATTTCCTTTATTAATGTTTTATAGTTCTCAGCCTGGAAGTCTTTCACCTCCTTGGCCAGGTTTATTCCTAAGTATTTTATTTGGGGGAGTATGATTTTAAAAGGAATTTTTTTTTTTACATTCCCATTTTGATACTTCATTATTAGTATAAAGAAATGCAACCGATTTCTGTATGTTGTCTCCTCCTCCTACCTTGCTGAATTCATTTTTGTGTGTAGTCTTTAGGGTTTCCTGTATGTATCCGTGTTATATGAATATAATGACAATTTTACCTCTTCCCGATCAATTCGGATACCTTTTTATTTCTTGTCTGACTGCTGTGGTTAGGACTTCCAAAACTATGTTGAATAGAAGAGGTGAAGTGGGCATCTTTGTCTTGTTCCAGATTTTAGCAGGAAGGCTTTCAGCTTTTCACTGTTGAGTATTGTATTGGCTGTGGGTTTGTCATAAATAGCTTTTATTATATTTTGGTCCCTCTATACCCACTCTGGTAAGAGATTTTATCATGAATGGGCGTTGAATTTCGTCAAATGCTTTTTCTGCATCTATTGAGATGATCATGTGGTTTTTGTCTTTTCTTTTGTTGATGTGCTGTATCACACTGATTGATCTGTGTCTGCTGAACCATCCTCATGAACGTGGGCTGAATCCCACTTGGTCATGGTGTTATCATCTATGTTTTGTTGGATTAGGTTTGCTAATACTTTGTTGAGCATTCCTGCATCCATCTATGTTCATCAAAGATACTGGCCTGTAATTTTCTTTGTTGGTAGCGTCTTTGTCTGGCTTTGGTATCAGGGTGATGGTGGCTTCACAGAAGGTCTTCGGGAGTGTTCCCTCCTCTTCAGTCTTTTGGAAGAGTCTGAGAAGGATTGGTGTAAGTTCTTCTTTGTATGTTCGGAAGCTCCCTTTCTGTCCCCGCTGATCTCCCTGACAGGGAGGGGCCTCCCAGGGTGCAGGAACCTTTCCTCTTTCACAGCTCCGTCCCAAGGGCGCAGGTCCCATCCTGATTCCTTTCTCTCTCTTTTTTTCTTTTTTCTTTTGTCCTACCTGGTGACGTGGAGATTTTCTCACCCCTTCGGAAGTCCGAGGTCCTCTGCCAGCGTTCAGTAGATATTGTGTGAGAGCCCTTTCCACATGTGCACGTATTTCTGACGCACCTGTGGAAGGGGGCGGAGCTCCACGTCGCTCTCCTCTGCCATCCTGACCCACTCCTCTCCATTTACTACTTTTAAAATTTGATTTTTACGTTGATTAAAGTGACGCATAAACGTAGTTTAATAAGGCCCAGGACAAAACCAGCAGTTTGCTAGTACCCCATTCACTTTCCACCCCCCTAAGGCTGCCATATCCAGCTCTTTAGCTCCTTCTGGTAATTATTAATATATTCTAACACATTCTATGCAATTTCTTTTTTAGCTTTAGATGTTATCTACCAGCCTCCTACTGTGGAGGCCACCTTCCCCCCAGAAACTAAAACACACACACACACACACACACACACACACACACACACACACACGTGCACATTCCTAATTTGGTTCTATCACAGTCCCTATTTCAATCAGCCTTTGGGATTTAATACAGTACGGCTCACCACCTGGTCTATCAGGGCACACCGGGACGAAGTTCCTTTCTGCTACTAACTTTTGCTTTCCCTGGTTGTTAACAAATGTCTCATTCCCCTCCTTCTCACCTGTCTTTTTCTCAGCTTTCCACGTACCTTTCACTATTTCTTTCCCAGACTCTTCAAAGAAATGCAACGTGCTGGCTCAAAAGCATGTCACCTGACTCTCCTCCCTCCAGGGGCCAGGGCTGGACTCGGCCTGGAGCGTGGGCCAGACCAACAGAGCGCGCCAGGCGATGGCATGCGGCCTCAGCAAAGCCACGGGGGAGTCGGCGCCATGCTGAGCGGATGCGCTCCCTGGAGAGGCCCGGGGCGGGGGGTGGTGGGGCCCCCCAAGAGCCGTGGGGGCGGCATTCTAAGCGGTTCCTGCAGCCCAGCAGAGCCCTCAGATGCAGCCTCCTGGGGGCCAGGGCTCTAGCCACCCGCCGAGCTGCTTCAGGACTTCCAGCCCACACAGGAACCACGGGGTAGCAAGTGTCTGTTGTTTCAAGTCACTGAGTCTCGGGGGAGTCGTCACACAGCAACAGAAGATGAACGCAGTGTCACCTCCGCTTAACACGGTCCAGCCCCTCCAGCGACCTGTCTCCTCCACCCCGTGCCGTCCCTCCCGGACGCCGCCCCCTGCTCCGCTGCTGGCTGGTGCCTCTCCACCAGCTCTCACGCCTGTCTGGACTGCCCTGCACCCTCACCCTCGGAATCCCTTTCCATCTCTGGGTCAAGCCCCACCCTTGGCCACACCCTCCTCTTGGGTGGCACGGCACACGGCAGGCACAGTTTCTGACTGGGGGAGTCTGAAAATATCTTCATCCCACAGTCCCATTTGACTGCCGGACTGGATATGGCATCCCGGGCTGGGAATCACGGGCTGCCTCTGAGAGCCAGACGCCCGCCCAGGTCCCACTGGTACGTGTCCTCAAGCCCTGAGCCCGGGCACCCCTCACACGCTGCACCTTCACGGTGGCCCGAACAGCGCCCTCTTCTCTCCTTTCAATCTGCAGAAACGCCCTTCAGTTATAAGCGACCTTCTTTCAACTTTCTTGCCTTCATTTCCTCTGTTCCCTAACTTCTAGGATTTAATTTTGGACCTCTCGGACTAACCCTTTAACTGACAAACAAAAACAAAACCCCCAAAACTGAAAGCACACCTCTTCGTATCTCTGAATTTTGTTCTACTTTTTTTTCAGGATAGTTTCTAACTATCATTACCCCTACACTTCCATAATTAATTAAACAAAAGATGTCCGCCGCTGTAACTGTCAGACAGGCGCCCCTCCCCTGCCCCTGGTGACTGCCCTCCTTCGGGTGCTCAGTGCTTCCCAGCCAAGCCCCAGCCCAGCCGCCGCCCTGGCCTTCCGTGCCCAACATCTCACGGCCACACGCGCACCTGCCCACGCTCCACACGCTCTCAAGACGATGGGGAGCAAACTCCGGTTCCTACAACGCGCCAGGTAAGTTGGGTCTTGGAAGGGACGGCCTGGCCTTGGTCTCCGGCCCTCCGTGATTCCCGGACCCCAACCCTAACCCCGGCCCCAGGAGCGTGCTCTCCCGCTGCCGCGCCCCTTCCGCGGCCCCGCGGCCCTGCCGATGCCACTCTCTCCACCGGGACCCCTCCCTCCCCTGAACTCTTACTCGGCCTCGGCCTCGCAGACGGGGTCCTCTGCTTAACAAGCACCCGCCCCGGCTAGCGCCTTTCTCCAGGCTCTCCAGCACCCAACGTGCTGCTCACCGTCACCTGAGCGTGCGGCTGCTCCTCCAGCCGTCTCACGGTTTCCTCGCTCCTGTTCAGTCACCAGCGCTCCCTAGGTCTGAAACTGCCTGGCACATGGCGGGGGCTTAAACACCAACAGTGCTTGCAGGGAAGCCCACTGAAGACGCATCTGAAGCACACAAACTCATGTTTTTAAAGAAAACTGGGCTCAATTTTGATTTGTGGCACTGCAAGAGAAAGTGTTTACTTTTCCTTTTCTTTAAAGGCCACTGTGCAAACTAATAAATCAATCAACGGACTCAGTTCCACACCTGGGCTAGAGGACTCTGCGGTCCCTTCCAACCACTCGCCTTTGGAGAACAGAGATGACACAGCTACGTATAAGTCCAGGGTCCCGACCCGAGAGCACCAAAACCCCATCTTCTTCCCACACCCCTGGTTATATACAAGTCATCCGTGCCACTCAGAATTTCAGGACTGAAAATAATCTTAAGAATGAGAAAGTCCAACCTTTTCCCCTTACAGTTTGGAAAACTGAAGCCCAAACAGCGGATCTGCCCAAGGTCCCGGGGGGTGTTAATAAAAATGCCCATAACACCTTCAGATATTATATGTATGTGTGTACGTATATGTATATGTATCTCAGTAACCTTACCCTTTTCCATGTGGCCAGCAGCTGTTTGTCAGACATCTGCTCTGGATAATCCGCAACTGCAAACACACATCCCAGTAAGAAGCCTTCTTCTGGAACTAGAATAGAATCATACACATTAAAGTCCCAAACGCATGAATGTGTGCACAAAACATAAACAAGCTCATTTTGCAGAGTTCAATATGAATGCGTGAAGCGAGTCACGCTTGACCATCATGTATCCACCAGTACGGTGAGGACCTCTGGCACACTGCTGCAAACACAGTTGCTCACCTGTCTACGTTAAGTGGCTGAGAACACGAAACCAACGGTTCCTGCCTGGGCACTGAGCATCCCGAGTTGGTCCCTGCGGCAGCCTGATGTTCTATGGACGCCACTGTTCACTTCAGGGTATGGCGTCCCAAAGTACAAAAGAAATCTAACTGTTCCGTCCTCCTAACTATATCCTTTGTTAGGTAACGAGACCCCCGTTCCCTGTTTTCCAAGAGTTATTTTGGCATGAATCCTTACCCTACCTGCAAACACTCTCCAAGTAAGTACAGGACTTTTGGGAGAAAAAGAAGGAAGAAGCCACATTACTAACTCTCTACTGCTGGGTCGTGTCCGAACAGCTGGCGCTGCGGCTGGCACGGCGGGGCCTGGGGCGCCTGCGTTTGCATCTGCTGCTGGTGCAGGCGCTGGAGCTGCTGCAAGTGTGCGAGCTGGTGCTGCAGTGCCTGCTGCTGCGGGGGTAACTGAGGCTGGGGGGCCTGCGGCGGCGGCCGAAACGGATGCGGCGGCGGCGGCGGGTAAGGCTGCTGCTGGAGCTGCAGGGCCTGCTGGGGCGGCAGGTGCAGGACGGACGGCGGGGCCGGCGGTGACAGATGTGACTCCGGGGTCACTTTCGCCTGGCTGAGCAGCGCTGCGTTCGCATGGCTCTGCTGGCTGTGGTTCACCTGCGGCTCGAAGGTCTTTGTTGGAGCTGCGAGGGACTGTAAGATCTGGAAACAGAAATCAGGCGAGGGGGTCGTCAGCAGCTCATCAGGAGGGCGACGGCACACCCTACACGCCGTCAGCCAGACGTTCGCTGGCAACAGTGCAAACACAGCTGCCGCTGTCTCCTGTGCACCAAGCATCACCAGTCTCCGCGAAGCAAACAAGTTCATATTGTGAGACATTTTCACCAAAATGTGAAACTAACCTAAGTGACGCGGAACAAGCTAACGAGTGAAAGTTGACCCACACAAGCTCAAGTGGCCGATGTGCTCTAGAGCAGAAGGACGGGTGTTCGGCCACAATGACCTCGCCGGCCCCAGGGCGCGGCCTTGTCCCTCCGGGGCCCCCTCCTGCCCGGCCACGAAGGCACCGGCAGCCGGAGAGCCTGACCCAAGCCTCCCTTCCCACAGCTGCCACTTCCCATAGGAGCAAGGGGTCCGGCAGAGGAGGACGCAAAGACCTGTGAAGGACGGGACACAGGTGACCCTGGAGAGCAGCCGCCGGCCCCTCGCGTCTGCGGTCGTCCTGCTCTGCCACACGAACGAGGGACGGAAGAGACACCAGCACTAGTTTTGCTTGCGTGGTCGACCTTCCCCCAGCCGAGAGGCCCTCAGCACAGCTGGTACACTCGCCTTCCTCAGAGGTGACGGGAGCTCCGCACGTGGGACAGAACACCTCAAGCTAGAGAACCCCGCCGCCAGCCAGCTGGGGTTGAGCTCACCCTCCCTCCCAGGGACAGGAGTCGGCCTGAGAGCTGAACAAGCTGCAAGGCGGGAAGGGGCCGGACCGGGACCAGGAGACACCAGCTCGCTGAGCGTCAGATCGCCACGTCATTTTACTACCCTGCGCAGCGCTGGATGTAACAAAAGAAACGTGTCATACAATGAATTTTCCCAACATGCTCAAGTAAGAAAAATTGGAAGCCAACTTCTCATAGTCAAGGAAGCCAGTAACAAACAGATTTTACCAAAAGTCAATCGATACAATTTATCCCTATTAAAAACATCCTTGTCATTTAAATAAAACTCCAGAAATGCAACTTTCACATAAACCAAACCTATACAAAAATCTCAAATATGTTTTTGACATATCTCTTTCACTTAAAACAGACTCCAAAACATAAAGGTTATATAATTTGCAAGAGTAACAGACTTTGGATTTAGTGGTGAAATAATTAAAATTGAAATAAGTTAACCTCAAGGGTTTGAGTACATCTGTCTTTGAAATCAGCCTATAGGTAAGACATCTCTATAAGGAGACTCTTTGGGTACTTTGAAAACTCCTCAAGTTGAGCTCTGAGCAGGAAAAAAAGTTTTCAACACGTTTGTAATCAACAGGATGACTAATTCTTCCCTACGCAAGTGTTAAAAAATACCCAGTAAAGTGGAGGGAGAAACGAACCCCACCACATACCCTGCCCAAGTATACAGAAGAGCATTTGGGACGCTGACTTTTCCATAAAAAAGCAGCAGGGGCTTCCCTGGTGGCGCAGTGGTTGAGGGTCCGCCTGCCAATGCAGGACACGCGGGTCCGTGCCCCGGTCCGGGAGGATCCCACGTGCCGCGGAGCGGCTGGGCCCGTGAGCCATGGCCGCTGAGCCTGCGCGTCCGGAGCCTGTGCTCTGCAACGGGAGAGGCCGCAACAGTGAGAGGCCCGCGTACCGCAGATGGGCCACGAGCCCACACAAAGGACACTGGTCTGGCATAGGGGTCACGGGGTCAGGGGTGGGAGGGAGTTACCATCACTTTACAGCCTGTGGTACCATTAAAATTTAAACTTTTGTACGTATGTTACTCTTTCACCCCCAGAAGTAAAAGCCTAGGTAGATCCGATACAGCCTGCCTGTCTGCCATCACGAACAGGGCTGACCTGACTGCCGCTCCCCAGGCCAGGGGAGCTCCTGGTGGCGTCAGGTGGGCCGGCAGGAACGCCCGGGGCCAGGACTCAGCTGGAGGCCCCTTCCGTGGTTGACCATGTTCTGAAGGGGCTGGGGGAGGCCAGGACGCAACAGGAGGGCAACTCAGAGCAGACAGAGACACACTGGCAAGAGCCCAGCCAGGCTGAGAGGTGGACAATGGCCTGGGAAGCCGTGCATGCACCTGGCCAGCCTGGCTGGGGAGCAGGCAGCCCGGCAGGCCAGGGGGTGTGAGGTGCCCCTTAGAACACCTTGCACACTCATCACATGGCTTGTTCAACCCTCTGATCTGCCTCTGGCCGAGAACCTATGTTAGTCCTGAAGAATCAAAGAAAAAGACTCTTAACTGCTTGAGCACACAATTCGCCACACTGCCAACGACAATTTTTAGTGAACGTCAACTTTGAATTTTTCCCTCATAGTTGCCACAGTCTTTACTTAAACTACTTAATACTGAGAGCCACAACATTTTTATAAAACAGCATGATACACACCACATGGCTCCTAACCACCAGAAATTTGCAATTTAAACAGGAGTTTGGGGCTTCCCTGGTGGCGCAGTGGTTGAGAGTCCGCCTGCCGATGCAGGGGTCACGGGTTCGTGCCCCGGTCCAGGAAGATCCCACATGACGCGGAGCGGCTGGGCCCGTGAGCCATGGCCGCTGAGCCTGCGCGTCCGGAGCCCGTGCTCCGCAACGGGAGAGGCCACAACAGTGAGAGGCCCGCGTACCGCCAAAAAACAGAAAAAAACAAAAAAAAAACAACAAAAAAAACCCAGGAGTTTGATGGTTGCTATGTTTCCTCAACCCCCTGATCTAATTTTAAACCAAATCTTTTATTTCTAAAGTTTCAAAGGTTCATTTTCTTCCCATCTAGCAGCAAAGTGGCCCAGTGTCCTGACACTGCTTAAGAACCCTCGGACCTCTTCGCAAGCGTTCTCGTTAGTGATCAAAACCATTCCCTCGCTAGAACTGGTCCCACCTCTGCACGCGGCTGAGTAGATCAGGTCCGTCTTCTGCGGAGGTCCGACCTGCAGGACGACGCAAAGGCAGAGATACGCCCAGCCCCCCCCCCCCGCCCCCCGCCCCGTGTAGTCAGCATTTCCATTTCCAATGAGATGAGTTTACCTCTACATCCAAATGGAGGCAACTTGGGATTTAAGTCAACATCCACTGTATTTGAAAAATGCGGAATCCAGTAGACACGCCCAGTCACTGACCAGCAGTGCCTTCTACCCTCCAGTGAACGGACAGCTCCGCACTTCCGTCCTGTTCCCGCTCCTCGTTCCTCAGCTGAGGATGGGGGAAGAGGCTTTGCACACCGGCTCCTCCATCCTCCCAGCGCCCACGTGGGTCTCCGCCTGCCAGCAGGGCAGGCCCCCTGAACAGCCCAGGTCGCCTCTCCAGACCGGCTGGCCCTCCAGCCTCCCCACGCCCCCAATTTCTTTCTGATCTCCCCTCCGCGCTCTGCCTCTGGCCTGGCGTCCGCGTCCCGCCCGCCCCGCGTACTCCGGCTTCTGACCACCTCCTCGCTCTCCGCGAGGCCCCTGCGGAGCTGGGTGCTGACACGCAGGCCCAGGCGCCCACAGATGCGCCCACTCTTTCCTGGGCTCCACCTTCTCCCTGAGCCTTGGTGACACCATCGGGCGAGGCCTGGCCCTGCCATTCTCTGACCACCTCATCTCAGAGACCTCGTCCTCATTCCCTCAGCCTCTTGCTGCCAGTCCCCCTTCAGACTCAAACTCACCTCCACGACCAGAGGGATTAACACAAAGCACGACGGAATGGAGTTCGGGAAGGCTGGGGTGTGGGAAGTGAGCACACAGATGGAGCCCCGGTCCACAGGGCGCAGCTGCTGCTCGGCCATGAAGGACGGGCACCGTTCAGACTTCAGATGCCAGCTCCGTTCTACGACACCATCCACTTCTCAAGACAGCCCGGAAACCCCATCGTCACAGAGAATCTCACGATTTGGGCAAGCAAATCAAATTTAAATTATCTGGGCCAAACTAAACGTGTTGAGCGGAACGCGGCCCGTCTGACTGGTGCGTGACCTTACTCTCCGCCTTTATCACCAAAGCCACCGCACCCCAAACTGCTTTCCCTTCCGGGCTGCCGGGTGCCCGTCGCCGCGGGGCTGCCCTCCGCGGCCCCTCCCTGCCTGGGCCAGGCCCCACTGTGCTCATGCTGCCTGACGGCCCAAGCTGGGGTCGTCAACGTACACTGGCTCCGAACCGGCTGCGGTAACGTCTTCCCAGAATCTCGTGTCGACTGTCGGAACCTTGTCCCCGAAGCCCCTGAGCCCCGTCTCTCCCCACACACCCTGCCCGCCTTTCTCGGGATGCCACCCCTCCGGCGTCTCGAGGACCAGGCACGATCAACTGGTCACTGCTGAAGCCGAGGGAGGGGAGGAAGAGCGCTTTTCCTTGCATCTTTAAGCAATAAAGACTCTTAAAAACCTCCCCCGCCATCAGACTCGATTGTGGTGCTGCGACTCGTAATAAGTAGCAGCTACTTGCCCACCCCGACGAGATCCCCCCAGTGGCTCCTTACATGGAAGACAAGACTCTACATGTCAATCTCCACCCACTCACCTAAGTTCAAGTCTCAATGACTTTCCTCCCTTAGAACAGGGGTCCCCAACCCCCCCCCCCCCCCCGTCAGAAACCAGGCCGCACAGCAGGAGGTGAGTGGCGGGTGGGCGGCGAAGCTTCACCTGCCGCTGCCCGCTGCCCGTCGTCGCCTGTGTCACTGCCCGCACCATCCCTCCCCACCCCCATCCGCCCGCGGAAAAACCGGTCCCTGGTGCCAGAAAGGTTGGGGACCGCTGCCTTGGAACACAGCAAGGTCACGCCTACTGCGGGGTCTTCACAGCCGCTGCCCCTTCACCCACAACTCTGCCCTCAGTTCTGCCCAGGGCCGCCTGCAGTTGAGTCTCCGCTTAATTTAAGGGGCCTCCTCCCCCAGCGGCCCTCATAGTACACGACCCCTTATTACTGCCTTCCGAAGACCTATGCTGACTGTCGGCCTGCTCCACCTGCAAGGAGGGCGGGGCCCGTCTGTCTCATTCACCATCTTGCCTCCGGGGCCCCAGATACGCAGACGGGCCCACACCACACGGACGACTTCCTCTCCGTCTTCACGTGAAAAACGTTTACGACAACTTTCAAGGTCCATCCTGTACCAACAGGCTCCAATCACAAAACTGTAAATTAAAATTAAGGCTCCGTCAACGAGTGAATTAATTTATGTTACGCTACTTGTCTACCGTGGAGTTCGGTATAAGCAAACAAGGAACAGCTGGCAGCCTGCAGGCTCCTCTTTGCTGCCACCGCTAATGAAACCGAGCAAGCGTGGAAGCCGTTTCCGGGGGCAGCGCCCGCCACTGGCGTCCTGGTGCCAACTCAGCAGTCAGGCCTCCAACTACGTGCCCGCCGTCACCCTCTCGTACACGGCATTTATGACACTGAAATACGTACACGTGTACGTATACACAGATAAAGACCGTGGGACGTGCTCTCAGACAAATAAATACTGCTTGTAAGTTACTTGTCCTGAAGAAGCAGAAGACAATAAAATAAATATTTGAAAAGGCTGTAAAATCCAGTATTTAAATCTTTGTTTTTTTAAAGAGTGACTTACGTGTGCTACGTTGGCCGGCCGGTTGATCTGCTGAATGTCAGCATTATTAGTGATATTTCGCAAGGTCCGCACAGCTGGACTCCAAGCGGCTATCATCTCTGACCTTTCGGAACTCTGGAGGCTTTGTCCTGAAGCCATTAAATTACCGCGGACCTCGGGGGGCAGGACGTTCCCTGGGACGGGCGGCACATTGGCACACAAGTTAATTAACCCGGGCTCCTGGCCAGGAGGCAGCCTGCGCTTCGCTGCCGCTAATTGCGGGACCTCCGCGGGCGTCCAGTTTAAATTTCTCTCTTGTTTTTCAGGTGACGAATCTGAAGAATCGTCAAACATCAATTCCCCTTTGGATTTTTCAGCGTTCGACTTGGGTGAGAGCTGCTGGCCGCCCGAGGGGGAGCCGTCCTGAGAGCTGGCGGGGCTGGACCTCTCCTCCGCGCTGGCCTCCTCCGGGGACTCCGGTTCCTCGTTCTCCTCCTCCTCTTCCTCCTCATAAACGACGAGACGAGGATGGTAAAGGGCTTCGTCCTTCTTAGTCTTCTCAGATATGCAATCCAGGACCCAGTCGGGCGTCACGATTTTAATGCTTGCTCTCTTTAAAGCACATTCATATTTCTCCTGCGGGCGAAGCACAAACACACACGGAAACAAAACCGCACGTTTTATCAGATTTCCTAGAAGTACGCACTCGAAGCAAGAACTTTAGGAGAGGGACACAGCTCCTGTTGTTGCCACTTTACCCAGAGGAGAAGCTCACACCCCTTTTAGACAGAGAACACGCGACACAACGAACCATGTGTCAATGGTCTTAGGTCGGCCTCAGGTCTGCCAAATTAGCTTTTACAAAGGCAACTTCGGGTAATGCTACGCACAGCTAGGAATCCTACGAGAGACTCTCAGGAACGCTAGGTGGCCTGCCGTCCAATCTGGTTGTCACTGACTGCTGCTCTGTGCAAAGTGTCACTGAGGACGGGGCACCTTCAGGGCCACGGGCAGTCCTGGGAGCATGGGGACGCTCCTCAGTCAGGTGGGCGAGTGTTTATCGAGCTCATTCTACCTAAGACACAAAGGCCGCAACAATTCTCTGACCTAGAGAGGCTTCTGACTTAGTTCTGGACGGAAGTTAAACATGCACAACAGGAATACAACAGAAACCCAGCGTGAAGTCCCGTGGGCACAGGGCAGGGAGGCCTCGCTGGACGGCAGGGTCTGGCAGGGTCTGGTGGGAGCAGTGAGCTGGGGACACTGGGCAGGGGCGCTGACAGGCAGGCAGAGGGCGCTCTTGCGGGGTAGAGGGCGGAAAGAAAGGAACGCCCGAGGGAAAGGGAGATGAACACATAATTGGGGCCCTACACTAAATCTACTTCCTGCTGTTGGCAGGGGGCCGGGCTGGAGGATCCCAGGGTCTCTCCCCAGCCCCACCTTCACCCTTCAGCAGGGGGGAGGATTTACACCCAGAAACCAGCTCCCTCCTCCAAAGACTGATCAACCTACTTTGGTTTTCTATTGATTGTTATGAAATTCCTTCATTCTTCTCAATTTAAAACATTTAAAAAATTCAAGAATACAAAGGATAGTTTCATCATGCCATTTATATATTTTCTCCATTAACTTATCAAAAAATGCAAAAAAAAAAGAATTCGTTTTAAACATGCCATTTATTTTTTGTGTGTAGTCAGCTAGTCTGTTTGACAAATGCACTCCATTCACACGCTGCCTCATTTATAATTTGACTCTTCAGAAGTATTCACTCATAGTTTCAAAAGTTATAAAGACTCCATTCCCCTTAAACTAGCTACCTAAAATCCAACGACTTATTTTTAGCCATAAATGAATACTGATATAAAAAGAAACCCTACACTATTTAACCAAAGCATACTACTTATCTCTTAAATTGTTACGTAAAATATAATTTTTTTTTACTCAAGTAGATTTTAAGACTCACCTCAAATTTTCAGAGTCTCCCCTTGGACTGTGCAGCTTACTAAGTTACAAGCAAACTCATGGGCTAACAGGTTATTTTCTTGTCGGGAAATGAACATGACGAACGGCACGCATTTATGGGCCACCTCTGCTCCAGACGCCCTAGAAAGGGACCCTCTTGGCAGGGGGGCGTCAGCTTTCCACACCCCCCGCGCCCAGGCCCGGCCACACGCCTCCCACCCTTCCTGTGAGTCAGTGGCACTCGGGCGAAACATACACAGCGCTGACTCAGACTGAAGGCAACAAAAAAAGGAGCTAATGACTGACACGTGGAAACGTTAGCTAGTCAAAAGGCTTTCCCTACTATAAATAGACTTAATTCTCAAATTTATAAGTAATTGTTCACGGAAGGAAAAAAGCTTGATTTCCACACAACGGTCGTTCTCAAACTTCACGTGCCTCAGGCTCCCCGGGCTCCCCCTTCCCTGGCAGGTTCTGATTTACTAGGTCTGGGGCGGGCTGGACAGACTGCGGTTCTAACAAGTCCCGGGAGGCTGATGCTGGCGACCTGGGACCCCACCTGGGACCCCCAGAGCCCTACGGCCCTCCAGTGCTTAGAGAGAGGAGTCCCGTGCTTAAGGAGATAAACGCAGTTTTAAATATTCCAGATTATTAAGAAGGACAGTACACTGAGAACTTCACCGAATGCATGCTTATAGTTATCCTCAGTACAGGCCTCTTAAAAAGATTGCGGAGAGGACCAACACGTACTTTCACAAAAACGAACCGAAGCTCCAGTGGACGTGGAAGGAAACTCTTAGAGATTCAAAAAACTGTCCTATTTTCAACATGAAATCAACCCAAATTTCTTTGTCTTTAAAAGTCACATCTGGCTCAAAACAAAATTTATAATCCTCTCACATCCTTTGTGGAATGAAGCTGTGTATAAATAATATAAATTAATGTTATCAGTTTTTGTAAAACGGAATCCAGTTAATTTAAACGAAGTTCAAAGAAGATATCTGATTACTGGGAATACTTAAATGACATTCAAAAGGAGAACGTACATGGGACACTTACCCCCTTTGGTTCTGGAACAACCAGGTGCGTGCACTTCTTGTCAAGAGTCAGCTGGCAGCCCCCGCCATGGAAGGTGAGCATAGCCCACAGGGCGCTTCTGTCCTCAGGGGACACCTGGCAGGAACCAGAAAGCAAGCTTGCATCAGGAGGCTCCACCTCTGCTTACCTACTTGCTCACTTTATGATTAAAATACACTGTGACATCATGACAATTTTGCTTTATCTACTTTCTCCCTTACTGAATGAAATTAACCTAAGGGTATTAGTGGGGAAAACAGATGAGCTTCTAGCTATTTGCTTGTTATAATAAAAACTTTTACTCCTATCGTGAGTTTTATAATCGTCACTTTTTTTGCCTTGTCACCAAGTAAACTGAAAAATACTTATATCCACACTCCAGGGATTGAATGGAGGATTATTTCGTTCTATAACAAAAATGATAGGAAAAAGAACTAGTACACCATTCCATCTTGCACCTGTGTCATTTTTTAAATGTTTACATACAATAGTATCAAAATCATATTTAAGGAACTCCTTAATAATCAATGGATAACAAATACTAACTATGAAATGGATAAAATAAAAGGTAAAAATACAGTGGTGCGTAAGCTCAGGGGAAAACGTAAGTATCAAACACACAGAAAATAAGGCAAGCATAAAAGGAACAATTCTTATGCTTGCTGAGCGATGAAGTGGAGACTCCAGATGTAACGGCTCACGTGGTACAACAGGTTTCACTACAACAACCGACCAGCTACCATTTATTGCCTGCCTCCTATGTGCCAGGAACTGTGCCAAGGGCTCCGCGTCCACCCCTAGTCCCCGTGACCCGGTGGTGGGGTGCACACTCACAGAAATGACAGCTAGTAACTGGAAACCCAGACCCGGCTCCAAGCTGTATTTTCCCACTGCTCTAGACTGCTTCTCTAAGGGCGGTTACTACCAAACGTAATTACTAAAAAATAAATTTTAGCGTCTCAAAGACAAAAGAAATATTTAAGAAAAATAAAGGTGTTAATCCTAAGATAATCCTCTAAGTCAACTTTTTTCTACATAACTTATTATAAACTGTGAATTATGGTTAAGACTTCTGAACTTTGTCTCAAGTTAATTTTTTTAAAGTGTTGACAAATAGCATGTTTTTTCCTTGTTAACTGCCATTATTCAGCCGGCCAAAAATCTAACATTCTATAGCTACTCTCATCCATTTCACAAATATTCCTAGAAATTATTTTGCATTCCATACTACTCTGTGAATACTAACAAGAGCACACTAATTTTATAAAATCACCTGAAAAATCATTATCTTCTCTCTCTTTAATTTAGTAAGTCAGTGTCACATTTCAGGATACTGGATCAGAAGATGTTATTTTTCTTAGAGACTTTCACAAAAACATTTACATCCTGCAGCCTTTGGAGGTGAGATTTAATTACACGGTAATACAGATTACTCTAATGAATCATTATATAATCTTTATTTAAAATGAAGGAAAACCCATAATCTAGATATGGCTTTATCACAAAGACTGGCCACCCATCAGTTAGGTATTATTTTTATTTCACTGACTGCAGTAACTCTAGTCCTGTACCCTGCTGGCCTGGATCCTGGCCCGGGTCTCAACAGGGCACAGGAAGTTGCTGTGGAAAGACCATCACATCGGGAAGAAGGGAGGCCTGGAATGGACACAGGGCCTCCAAACTCCAGCTAAGAGCAACTCGGAAAACCTCTGAGAACCAGATTCTTCATCGGCGTACGTTTGGGTTAAATGACTGAATGCGCGAACCAGCTCATTCAATGAATCTGTATCGGCATAATTAAGAATGCTCTTTCCACAGCAAAATGTTAATGATAGTTACCTAGTGGTGACAGGATTATGGGGACATTTTAATTTTAATACTTTTCTGTATTTTCCAAATTTTCAAGAGCATTAATTTTATAACTGGGGGAAAGTGCTTTTCTTTTTTTAAAAAAGTAATCTTCCTAAACTACAAGTCTACGGTCTCAGCTAAGAAAGCCTGGATGTCTCCTCAACACCTTATGGCTGAGATCTGGAAGTTTCCAGGCGGTGTCTCGGGCTTTCCTGATCTGTGTGTGCCTCAGCCCTGGTCCTGCTCCCAGCTGCTGCCACACCTGCGCTCTGACCTGCGGCCCCTCACCTGAGCTGCTCTCCCTGCCTCCGTGCCCCGCCCCTAGCCTCGGCTCAGCGCCCACGGCCCCTGCACTCCCACAGCAAGCTGCCCCTTCTGAATGCGCACCTCTGTCCCCGAGCAGAGGCCACACCTCCACCCGCGTCCCTCTGGAGGAAGGGCTTCCCTCTGTGCCCCGGGGGCGCCCTCCTTCTCCAGGTCTCCCCGCCAGACACTCCTGGCTGCAGCCCCACAAGCTCTCCTCGTCCCGTCTTGCTTGCGAGCTACCATCCTACCGACTGGAGCCTTAGGTGAGAATCACGTCCTCCACTCTGGTACCTTCGACAGGACCTAGTACAGTACCAGGCACATGGGTAGGCAGTCAAGAAATATCTGTGGATTGAGATACAGAATGGAAAGGCTTTGATCTCTTTAGTCCTCCAGATTTAAATGAGGACCCTGGCCAGGCTCTCCATCAGACTCGTGACCTGTCCCCGCGACCTACCCAGCACATTACAACAGAGGCCTCAGCCTGCATCAATACCGGCTCAGAAGAAGGCAGGTGATGTCTGTGCTTCCCAACTTCTGCTGGCACAAGCTCCCTTCCCTACCTCTCCCTGGAGAGCTCTGGAAGACTCCAACAAAGAGCTCCAGCTTGTATCAACACCCTGACGGGAAAAGACAGAAGGTCACTGAGAACCACCAAGCAAACAGTCCTTTCACAGCGCTGGAGCCCTGCCTGCCTGCCGTGTGCACGTGTGCGTGCGCAGGTGCTCCAGAGGTCTACTAGGTGCAGGTTAACTGTCGTGATCGCCCCTCCTGGTACTGCTCCCACACCCTGCACCCGCTTCAGCTCCGCATATGTGACATTCCCCTTCTGGACTGTGCCCTCACCCGAGGGGGGGAACTGTATCCTCATTTATCCGCACCCCTGGGCGTTGTTCCTGTCACAAAGCATCCTCACGTATTTGGTGAACCGAAGTCCTTTCGCTGCACACTGAACATACGTTTGTTAGTATGTCTCACAACTGCTGAATTCACATTTTTTAGCAACCACAAAATACTAGTGTCCCCAGTGCACTTTTCTGAACCAGGGCTTCTTCGTATGAACTAGTATCAGGTAAAGCCTTCCCCAGTCTTAGCTGAATGATCTTTACTCAAATAAAGCAAAGCTTTCTTTTCACCATCACGAGTGGCGAATTGTGAGAATAAGTGCAGTAACTGACCCATAAAGATCATACCGACTCTGTTATTCCTAACGAATGTGCTTAAAAGGCTATAAAATTCCGCCAGGGCACTCGCTGCGTCCGCCTTGGTCCACTCCAGCCCCAGCCGCTCCCCACCCGGAGAAACACCTGCAGCCGGGCTGCTTCCCAGATGCCCGCACGCCCCCCGCTTCCTTCACGGGGTCCCCGTTCTCCTCCTCCACTGACCTCACCTGTAGCTCCTCAGCCCAGAACCCGAGGTCCACCTAGACCCCTAAGCCTGTGTGCCAGCCACAGAGCACCGCGCTGCCGTCTTCCCGCTCCCGGGTCAACGAGCAGCATGGAGGGGCACCAACTGTCGCTCCGCACTGCTCCCTGGGGCCCTGCTCTGTCCCCGCAATAAAACCAACCACTACGTCTGACTTTGTTCTCGGTCCCTAAGCATAACACCCCTCCCTCCGGCCACCACCTCTGTCTACTTCCAAGTCCCCTTTCTCCCCGGATCTCCCCATAACCCCACATGTTACGCAAGGCTCTATTCCTGACTACCTGCTCCCCTCTCTAGCCACTCTGCAACGAAGCAGTAGCTCTCAGCCCCTCACGCTGCATCTCCCAGGCCCGACACTCGGACAGCGAGGGGCTTCAGTCCGACTTCATCTTCCCCCAGGAGCCAGAGTCCTCTCTGTTTCCCACGTCCGGCAATGTTCCTACTTTGGAAAAGGAAGTCATCTGCCTAGTGGCCTCCTGTGGAGCACCCACCACAGGCTCTGCACGCAGAGGCCCCCTGTGAGCACCGGCTCCTCCCTTTGCACAGCATCCCCCAAGTCACCAAGACCTTCCGATTCCCAGCCGTTCCTTAGATCCACGCCGTCGTCTTCTACACGGTGCTAACCTGGGTCCAAATCCTCATCTCAAGTCTAAAGACTGTGACTGGCCCTCCTGTCCACATTCCCATCCTTACCCTGCCCTCTGTCCTGCTTAGAGCTCCCAGACCAGTTCCACCTACAAGACTGCAAGTGATTTTAATTTGCTTGCTTTTTTCCTGTGTTTTCCAAATGTTCTAATGCAAACGTCTGCGTTTGCAATCCAAGATTAAATATACAAGAAGAGTGAAACAGCGGCTACTTTATCGAGTTTCCTGTATTCTCTGCCCGCCTGCCTGCGCGCTTGTTCTCCTCCTCTCCTCCCAGCCACACGGCCTGTTCTGAGGCCGGTCCCCTCGCACGAGCCTCTGTGCCCCCATCCGGCTCCGCGCCAGTTCTGCCCGTCGTTTCAGGCCCCTCACATCTTGCCGCCTCCACCAAGGCTTTCCTGATCCCACAGTCTACACCAGCGCCACCTTCTCTAAACTCACACCCCAACACCCGTGCCCCTGATTTAGCCCATCCTGCACGTGTGCCACGCACACTAAAACCACAGATGTTAAATGTACCGCATAATAACCTATTACACGTGCCGGAGCCTTTGTGAAATGTAATCTCGGTTCTATTTCTCTCCAAGACTACCAGGTTCTCCAGTGCTAAACTCACAGTTAACATTTAAACATGTCTAACCCCTAACTTTAAACCCTGTTTTAAATTCACACGCTCTTGATGTTCTTTTATATTTCCCAAGTCAGGTCCGCTAAGTACCACGTCACTATGACCTTGATCCCAGAAAATACCCACAGGACTCCCTGCCCCGGCTTCTTCCTCGCTCTCTGGATAGCGGGCTCTGAATCATGAGCCCAGAAATCCAATCCATACAAATATACTTAAATGCAAAATTTACATTTTAGCCACAGTACATTGTGTTTATGCATAAGGAGTAATAAAATATTTTCATTTAAAAAACTTTTCTGATATTTATTATACATTTGGAACATACAGAGGAGTATAAACAATAAAAATTACGTGTAACCACAGTACCCATCATGAGAAGATTTTCATTTTAGCCAACTTTAAAGATCACCAACATGTAAATATACATTTATAGCAAAGGTGTGAAAAATGCTGAAAAATACAAATACCAACAAAATTCTGGTTCTTAAGGGGAAAAAAAGCCAACTTTTCAAGGATCTCTATTAAATCAATGTAGCAAAAACAGAGGATTTTATAATTTTAAAGAACTTTCAGAATTTACGAGACATAAAAACACAATGACAAAGTTAATTTTACTTATTGCTTGGACAGAGAAGGGATCGTGGTGATACCGTTTGAATGAAGAGCCGAGTCTGGCCGACAGTCTAACAGTATTAAGCTAGTATCACCTGGTCCCATAATCCTCTACTACAAAGGTGTACGAAAAAGGCAAGACCATAATCAAACTCCCTTTCGTCTCACCTAGCATCCTTGATACATCCCTTTCTCAAAGGCTTCCACAGGGATGGAAGACTAAACGCCTTCTCAGAACTATCACCTTAAGAACTACAGACCGGGATGAGGCTACTGAGGTCAGAGAAAATGGGAGCCCTTTAAACTGTGCTTCTTCCTGCCCAACGGCTACTAATTGTTCCATGTAACCTAAAAAGTGAGTTTAAACAACACCAACTTGATTTTTCATAATTGTTTACTGTTTGAGGGTTTTTTACCTAGGGGGTTGAGAGGACAGAATACCATAAAACAATACTAAACATTCACTTCTCACACTACCCAGAATTCATTGCCGTTAACATTTTGGTCCCTCTTACAGATATTTCCTATATATTATATTTGGTTGATGTAATACTGTACATAACTATGTTATATCCTGCTTCTTCCCCAGTCAAGACATTCCCCATGTCTTTACATATATTCATAAAACAAAATTCACAACTGGCTACATAGCTAGATTAGTATGTAAGTGTACAGAACAGGTTTCTTAAACATTTCCAAATCGTGGATCATCTGTTTCCAAATTTACCCTCTTATAAATAAAGCTGCGCTGAACACCTTTATGCATCAATCTGCCCTCATTTCTATCAATTTGGGATGAACTTCTAAATGTAAGAGAACTGCAGGGGAAGCAGAAAGACTATTTTATGGCTCTGACCTGGCTCAACTTTTCTAGAAAACCGCTGCACTGAACTGCACTCCTGCCGGGAGAGGGGAAGCTTGTCTGCAGCTCCACCACCACCGAACATACTGTTACAAATTTGATAAGCAGAAAATCTTATCTCAGCGCTATTAAGAAGTTCACGTCTTTGTTTATAAAGTGTATCAAATGTTTTATTATACTTATTTGTAATTCCTCTTTATAAAGTTGTAAATTCATTTTTCTGCCTTGCTTACTGAGGTCTTATTTTTTTCTTTTATTGATCTGCATGAGCCCCTTATTTATTAATAAAATTCTCTGCCTTTATTTCTGAATGAATTTTCCTTGTCATCTTTCAATTTCATCATTTTTACTACGTTTTCATATTCAAGTTTTAAATCTTTGTAATCCTTTAGAAAGACCACTTTCACCCATTAAAGCTCTAAATCTTAAGACTAAGTATGAATATTTAAATCATTTGAAGTGTGTCATAAGGTCATACTGAATATGCAGTTTAGTAAATAACACTGGTTTACAAATACATCATAAATCCAATCATATAAAAACTCAGAGCTGTTATGTGGAAATAACACAAGACCAATTGTACTATGCTTACCTGAGAGAGGCAGGCAGTGATTCCAAAGAAAATCTGACATGACTCTGGAGAAAAGCCATTGACTCTGTTTTACAGTTATTAAGATTCCAATGAGATGAGATGAGTGCAAGCTCTGTTTCACTAAGAGACATTTCCTATTGGCCCGTTTGGACACTGCCCACCCTCTGCTTCCCATTCAATCCATTTAGGAAAGAGACAGACTTAAGTTGACCAAAGAAGAGTGCAGGGCAGACTGGAAAAAAGAGAAGTTGACAGCGCAGAAAGAACTGAGAGGTTTTCCGTAAAGTGCATTTTCAAATCCAATCTCTCCACTTATATCATCAATAAAATGGGCATAACATACTCATGGAAAAAACATCTAACTATATACACATATATAAACACACACATGCCTATACATGTACACAACCACATATGGCATAGTGATTATTTTAAAAGCAAATTGAAGGTCTTAAGTTTACTTTAACATGATTACTTCTGTCACACAGCAGAGTCTTTCATAAAAGAACTTGACTTCTAGTTTTATTACCATCACGAACTCTCTGAATTTGGGCAAGACAACCCTGAGCTTCAGTTTTCCCTTTGTTAAAACAAAAGTTAGTATATATAACTCCCAAGATTCTCCCCAGTTCTAAAGATCTGACTTTCAAATTCATTCAACACGTTTTCTGAGAGCTTACAGAGTGCAGACACTGGGCACAGGGCTCTCCATAAGCAGACATGACCTCTAGGTGCCTGTACTTTACGGTCCATTCAAAGCAAACATGACTTTTTTAAGAATCTGGAGTGTCTAGAATTCAAATGGGTTAAAGTATTACTTCTCTTTCCCTACAGGAGAAAAGTACACCTCCTGAGATAGGTGAATTAAGAAAAAAGATCAGACTGAAAATTTTCTTGCAGTTTGGAAGTCTCCTACCCAGGTCTGAGAAAACCGCACAGGGATTCGGGCCTGCCTGGCTGCCCTGAGCTCCTCAGACCCCAACATCACGCCTTCAGCCCCATCATCCAGGCTCTGTCTCCATCCTCCTACCTTAGTTCAGGGACTGTCTACTTCCAAAGACCTGGGGAAACGTGAACAGAGGCTAAGAGTGTGCTGCCTAACCGAGTCTCAGGAGTTCTTTCTGCTCCTTTAACCTTCCTTGGGAAAACAGGCAGTAAGTGCTCAAACAAAGTGACAACTTCTCAGGAAACCCTTGCGTAGCGAGTGCACGATCCAGGCCAGGAAAAACTAGCCTCTTATCCTCAAAAACACCCTTTCCACTCCCAGTCTTCTTTCACCTGTGCTCGTAAAGAAAACAAACAAACACAACTCAAACTCCTAAAAAACCAAGGCCAAAAACAAACCAGGAACCAATTTCCGTTAACCCTTCAGACTGTGGAAGAGAAATCTCAGAATGTTGGAGCTGGAGCTGCTAAAAGTTGTGCACGTCCTCTAAGAACTGCTTGGAAGGAGGTATTTTCTTTGTTTATCTGAGGTCTCCTATACATATTTAATACACGAAGATTCCCTCCACCCGCATCGATTCAGTAGTAGATGCCTGGCAGAGCCGCACAACACGGTAAACAACATCACCTCTGCCCGGGTCTAACACTAGGACATCATGACCGCACAGTATCAGGTACCTTAACAGAAGTGACCTCCAAAATCAGATTATGCCTGGAATGACCCTGCAGGGAAGCTTACCACTTCCAGGGTGAAAACAGGGACTCTGAGGCCTAGAGCACAGGACAGCAGGCTGCAGAGGGCTCACTCCTGCTTCCAGCGCAGTGTGTGTCAGTGTGTGTGTGGGCTGGGTAGTTCCAGGGCCACACTCAGGAAACGCTGAATGAACCAACACGTAGTGCGGGGCAGCTCCTTGGGGGCAGGAATGAGGCCCTGTCGACCCCTCTGTTTTCAGAACCAGGCCCACAGCAGGTGATCAACATGGGTCCTGAATTAATAAACCAATGTAATTAAAAAGAATAATGGTGCATGATATAAAACTAAAAATGTCCTGATGTTCTCTTCTCCAATTTATTCTTCAAACAATTCATGATTTGGTTCACACAGACTTAGAATTTTAGAAATAGTCCATCTAACTAGACACCACAAAAACCATCTATTTCAAAGATAACAGAACTGAGGTCCAGACCAGCCGAGGTCCTAAAGCCGAGTCGCAGAAGAACTAGAGCTTGGGCCTTGGGTCCCAGCCCAGAGCTGCTTCCACACAGCTGGTCGCCCCACCCCGCCCCGGCCCCCCAGGGGTAATGACAAGGATCAGGTACACACACCTGGACACAGGATGGAAAGAGCAGAGATAGAGTGAACACAAGACCACCTCCCCTAACTAATGAGCCAGCTCAGCAAGCGAAGACCACTTCAGTCCTCAGCCCATCCCGCCCCACTTCCCCACAAAGGATACGGCAGAAGAGCTCCACACTGAACGGACAGAATCACCCAAGAAGGCTGAAAAAGAAAACATTAACGCAAGTCAAAGCACAGTTCCAGTTCATACTCAACGTGTCGTCACGTTACTAGTGAAGCTCCTAGAAAAGTAAAGGCTCTGTTACAACCGATTACACAGCATCCAGATTACAGTCACGAGTAGTCACGTAGCAGAAACATCAGAGTGGAACGTTAGCTATTAGTGCCCAAGGTGAAAAGCCCAATTATAGAATGAAACACTACCAGATCTTAAAAAATTATTATGTATAGAAATTTATTTATTTATTTTTGGCTGCACGGGGTCTTCGTTGCTGTGCGCGGGCTTTCTCTAGTTGCAGCGAGCGAGCGGGGGCTACTCTTCGTTGCGGTGCACGGGTTTCTCGTTGCGGTGGGTGGCTTCTCTCGTTGCAGAGCGCGGGCTTCAGTAGTTGCAGCACGTGGGCTTCAGTAGTTGTGGCTCGCGGGCCCTAGAGCACAGGCTCAGCAGTTGTGGCGCACAGGTTTAGTTGCTCTGCGGCATGTGGGATCTTCCCAGACCATGGCTCAAACCCGTGTCCCTTGCATTGGCAGGAGGATTCTTAACCACTGCGCCTCCAGGGAAGTCCCTGGAAATTTAAATTCTAGGTTTACACACTTTCTACTGCTTAAGCCTCTAGGCCGGCTAGAAACTGTCCTCACAACTGGGGGGATGGGGAACTGACAGCCCTCCCTACCCCCATCTGAGGTACAAACAGCCCCGCTACGTTTCCTTCTGGAGTCCTGAATCCAGTCAGGTATGAATTCGTGAGTTTTTTTCAGTGAAGCCAAGTAGATACAATGTTTGTAAATCACAGAAAGGATTTCTAACTGTCTGGTAATCTTTTTATGAATTGCAAAACTCAGATTAATTATAAAACCTTAGACTAATTACTACCTTTTTGGTAATTTACATTTTTGAAAAATTACCTCATTATTTCTACATTTAATTTTGAAAATTACATTAATCATTATCCTGATGGCTCTGCTTCACAGGATTACCATGTAAAAATACAGTAATAACCCATTTAGCCAGCTGACTTCCAGAAGCTTCAGCCACCTGAAACATAAAGACACACCCATTTCTCATGCATCGTATACACCTTGAAAGAACTTTAGAAATCAAAGTACCCCCTCCTCATTTTTCAGGTAACATCGACAATTTCTCAGCATAAGTTTATAAGTAAGTGTAACGTCTGTGAAAAAGCATAGAAGTATTACACGTTTTATAAAATAAAGACTGGCTCTACTTGGGTTAATCACTTCATGATGATTTGATAATTCTGCCAAGTGTGTAACTAATTTGGCGGATGAAGCCACCAAGCTGGAAGGGAGTGTGCAACATCTCCACGCGCAGTGTCTCCAGCGGCTGTTCGCTTCTTGCAGTCCTGGGGAGACTCCAGCTGGACGGGAGGGAACTGGCCACCACTCCTCCTGCATTCAGGACACCCTCGCGTGGGCCGAGCCTTATTCCCAGCAGTGACACCAGAGCCCTCTGCTGTTCCCCGGCGGCGTGGGAGCACGAGGGAGGCTTGCCTGAGACCAGTTTTCCCGGCCACCCCTTTGTCTCATGTCAGCAGGATTCTCAGAGCCTAGGTCAACGCACTGCAATACGACTCGGATGCTGTGGGTACGGCTCCTCCCGCGTCCAGTGGAAGGGAAGCGCCCAACGACCGGAGGAGCTCACACTCCGGACAGGCAGCTCTTATGACTCTGCATGCAGCATTCACCCTGGAAAGCTGCCCCTGGGGGCTGGGGAGCAGCGAGTACGCGCGTCCCGGTTACAGACTGCAGGGCTGGCAGCAGTAAAGCAGAACAGACTCCCTGCGGCCCTCACCCGGGTAAGTCTAGATAAGATAACGCAGCAAAGAAGGAGGACACGCTAATGATAATAAAGCAGAAACGGAGAACGAGAAAAGCACAGTAGTAATAAGGAGCTATTATCCAAAGGCAGATAATAATATATTAAAATAAATTCACTGCTGAAAATCAGCATAATTAAGAGGCCCCAAGGCCACTGAGGAAAATATTTCCATTAAAAAAGATTATTTTAAAAATCTTGGTGCCTAAAGAAGCAAGTTTTAAACATCCATAAAATTCAAATATGAGAAAGATAAACTGTCCCTGGGCAAAAGGAAGCCTAAATTTTTAAAGTATTTGTCAAATTTAACATTAAGGTAAAGGCCAAGGGATATGCACTTAGAGAACCAGGCCTCCGCCTTCAGCTGGACACAGACCACACTACTAACAGCAACCCCCAGTAGGAAACTTACTAGGTTCAGACAAGAACTCGAGGGTCTACCAGCACTATCTGGAATGAGCGCAAACTGCTGGATGGGTTCTGGAAAATTCTACCATCCTGTAATGCAACACTGCAGTCGCTGGACAGTATAGGTGCTGCCACAAAATTAAAAGCAGGCCGGAATGCTGAAAGAGATCAAAGAGTAGGATGCCTGGGAGTCGTTTTAAAATACTACAGCCAAAGGGAGTAGGATGGGGATACCTCAGCTAGACTGGGAGAATGGTGACCACGGCGGGAGCTGGGTGATGGCTGCTTGTATGCAGCCGTATTACAGACGGACCTTCCTGGGAACACAACTTCAGTGTAAAATGAAGGAGGCAGCGCTGTTTAGCCCAGAACTGTAGCAAGGATGGGTCACCGTTTTGCACCGTCACCTCACAGCCGGCACCTGCGTCTGCAGGACAGAGGACCAGGTCCACGGTGATTCTACACCCCATCCTCCAGGGTATTTACACAATGAAATGCAGACTTTCTGTTATCTGTTTTCCTCTTTTTTTACATTTCAGTTTGGGCAATTTATATATAAATACAAACATATATTCAAGTTATATGATGTTACCGTACATAAGAATTTCATTTCAGGATAATAGAGGGGGTATTACAAAATATTTGCTACAAAAAGGGGCTTGAGGGGTCGCTGGACTTAAGAAGCACTGCAGTAAGTGGTCTGCGGAAGCTGACTGGGCGCCCCAAACGTGTTAACAAGGCTGCCCTTTCAAGGTGCACTAGGAAATCCACACAACATGTGAAGTCACTTTGATAAGAGGCTCCAGGCTACTGTCTGAGGGGAAAAAAGTTTGCAGACAGGGGAAGGGATGAGATACAGTCCCTCAAGCCAAGAAAGAGTGGAAGCAAACCACAGGCCGAAACAGGGCCCCAGGGAACCGGTGCCGGGGTCCACAGCCTAGTGTCCGTGGCAGGTCCACCCCTCCTACGAGGCGGCTGCAGGTGAAGCCGGCAGGAACCTGCTGTCAGGCTTCAAAAAGGCTCGGGCGGAGTGAGCCGCTGGCCAGGCGGAAGCAAGCATCCAGCCAGAAACACGACCACCATCCTCACCGTCGCAAGTTAACAGTCATTCCGACTTACGCAGCACCCTCTTGAGAACCTTCTTGTGAGACAGATCTGCTTTCAGGCTTAGGTTCCAAAATCAGGCTTCTAGGCCTGCAGGGCAGCGTTTCAGACCCTGGACGCTGGCGGCATTCAGGCCTCGCAGCGGCCAGCCGGCAACGCCGCTGCCCAGCTGGACTCAGTGGCGCTCTCTCCTAATTCCTCCCTCTCTCATTATTAAGCCACAGTAACGGCCATGTTGATTTTTTTTTAAGATAACACATGTAACAGCATGGAAAAGAGAAAAAAAAGGGTAGTGGAACAGAACCATTTTAAAACAAATATACACTATAAATGATGAGAAAAAACGGAAGGATCGAAATGATAAACTTAAATTTTAAAAATGCACATTTAACAGCTGTCAGTTCAACCAGCAGCCACAAGAGAGCAGCACAGTGCGCACATCAACAACACTGAACAATTCACCCGCCAGCTGAGACTCTACTTTCTAGGATAAACTACCCGCAGGTCAAGCTGGATAGTGGAACAGAGAGCCACCAGAGGGACAGTGGGACAAGTGGTCACTGTGACCCTTGTCGGAGAGCAGAGCCATAGCCCAGAGAGGGCAGGGCTCCCCTAGACTTGTCTGCCTGGAAATCAGGACCCCTGGCCACTGGGGATGGAAGGGAGCCCTGTTCCAGGAGTTCCTCTTGGAATCAATAAACTTTCTTAGCAGAATTCACCAACGTCATCTGCTTCAAGACAGCACGTCCACTGCCTTCAACACGTTTCCTTGGCTTAGACAACTTCCAGACGGTGACAAAATGGGGCCACCCGCAGCAGGTGCGTAAGCTGTAACGTGCAGAAACCTTGCTGAAGCCTTATTTCACGTAAAGGGCCTTCTGCTGGATGGTTCCTCAGATGCCAAGAGCATCTCCCACCCAGAGCCGCGCCTCAGCAAAGAGTGTGAGAAGAGCTGCACTGAAACTTCAACGTACTGCTTTCAAGGTACTTGATGAAGCGCACAGAATTCATTAAATTTACTACCAACCTTGACTACAGGCAAATCAAAGACTTCCCGAGCTTCTCCCACCTCCGGATTGTCCCCGTCTTCTGAAATGATGTGTGAGGCGAGCGCATTGTACGACACTTCCTTAGCTTTCCCAGCTTTTAGAAGCTGAATAACCTTTAAAAAACCACACAGATTAAAATGGAAAATGCTGTATTTCATTCTCAATTTATACAAATTATTTACAGTGAAAATTCTAATAAACGCACACCATGTTCTCCACATAGGATTAATAACCTTGCACTAAGTCATATGCAATGAAACATACGGGGACAACAAAAAGCAGCAAATCTTGATTCACTGACAGGTAAGCACGGAGGCTCCTGTGACGCAGGTACTACACAGGGTCCGTCTTGAACACAGGACTGACAGACAAGGTGAGCACAGCACCGTAAGTGCTGAGACTGGGCTAGCACGCGACACGCCATGTCTCAAACATAAAGGCTTGGGGACAGGTAGTTTCTGATAAACGGAAACGTTTCTGGAAGAAGAGCTATAGGAGCCGAATCCTTATGAACTTAAAGGCGTCAGCAAGGCAAAAACACGTGCATCGTGTGGAGAGAGCAGCGTTCAACACGCTGGACGGCTGAACGTGGATTAGACGGTCAACTGTGCTTCGTAGATGCTGTGCAGAAACCTTTGTATTTTATCCTGAAATAAAATACAGAATGTCTCCTGGAGAGACACTGAGGGCTGGTCAGTAGGGACGAGGCATGATCAGACTTCACAGAAAGACTGCCGTCAGCATAAGAAGAATGCACTTACACTGCAGGACTGGAGCCATGACACCTGTTAAGAAACAACTGCAATAATTCAGGCGAAAGAGGCAGGTAACTTAACTGGAAAAAGGTCATCAGGGACAAGAAGATGATGTGAGAGAAGCAGCAAGACCTGGTGACCGAAAGGGGCACGTGGAAGAGAAACTGGGGAACGACAGCACACTGCTCCCGAGGACCACGTCTAAGAGCGGGTGCGGGGGGAAGACAAAGGTCTCAGTTTAGGGCATGGCCTTCTTTGGTGCCACTCTAAGAACGAGGAAGACACCCAGCGCATCGAGGATGAGACCTGGGTCCCGCCTGAGTGGAGCCCTCAGTCCACTACAGAGACAGGGCAAAGCTTTGGGAGTGAATGAGACGCCGCAGCGGGAAGGGAAGAGAGGCCACGGCCAGCAGTGGAGGCTGCGGGGAGGGTGGAGGCCAGGAGCCGGACGCTAGGAGCACGCTTCACGCTCAGAGCAGCCGAGTGCACCCCACACGTGGAAGTGAACTAGATGTTCATCCAACGCACGTGAACTCTCTGAACCCACATTTATAAGATTCAGAGAATCGAATATCCTGACTCTAAACTTTTTAGAAAATATACTGTTTCAGATCGAAGTGGTTTGCAAGGACATTTTTAAGCCCTTAAACTTGATTCACAGTTGAGTAAACATGGTTCCAGTGCAGCCTGCTCCAGGTTTTAAGTAACACATGGCTCAGGTCACTCTTAAGAGCCAAAGTCCTAAAATGAAATAGGGGGTGGGATGAGAGAGGGGAAGAACAGTGGACAGTGAACAAAGGGAAACCCTGGAAGGGAGAAGCCGCACCTTACAGGCAGTTCAGCCCTCTGAGCTCAGCACCTGTTTACCTTTAAATTCAAAGCCTCTTTACCTTAGTTACAGTGGAGAAAGGACCCACCTAGGTGGTGATCCAAGGGAGTTTAGTTACTAAGATACCAACAGGCAAAGCCTCTGGAAGGCCAAGGCCCATCAGCCTTCCACAGATCCTTTTAGGTCACCCAAGTTTTACTTGTTAAGTATCGGTCTCCACTCAGGAGGCCCAGACCGCAGGTCTCCAAGCTTAGCACTCAGGGCCAATGAGACACCCAGGTGATAAAACTGTAAAGATAAACTTTAGGAATAAGAACAGTGTTAAGAATCACCTGAAGAGTCAGCTGCGGTTAATTCCCACAATGGAAAAACAACATTCTAACGTTCAAACACAAACACATGTTCTACTTAGGAAAAGCCACGATATCCTTTGGCATGAGCCCAAACGACAAAAAAAGTCAAATGTTTAGTGTGACGGCGTTACCAGGGTATTTTTCCATTACTGTGTAATTCACCCCATTAGGGAAATCAAGGAACACCATCCGCTGGTGGTAAACTGAGGGTTCACCGCCGCACACGAGATGACCGAGCCGCAGACCTGCGACCTGGGGTGGCTGCCACACCAGAGCGACTAGCCGTCCGCTCAGCAGTCCGGGACCCACGTCCCTACCAGCTCCACAGGCCGAAGCTCCCGCCACGCTCGGACCCACCGTCTGGGCGTCAGGGAAGCCCAGACCGCCGAGGATGCCGCGGGAAGGGCGGCCCGGTCCGAACTCCGCCCAGAAAGGAGCGGAGTGGGAAGCGGGCGAGGCGGCCACGAGACAGCACCCCGGTCCCCCACCGCGCGGGGACGGGGACAATCGGCGCAGGGCTGCAGGGCAGACCCACCTCCCAATGCCCTCCTCCCCCAGTCCGGACACAAACCCTTCCTGCCGCGGATCCCTCAGGCCCCCAGGTCCCCTCCCCCTGTTACAGGGGTCAGCACCCCTCCCAAGTTTCCTCCCTCCCCGACCGCGGGGCCCACAGACCAGCTCCCTCTCCCCTCCCTCCCCTCCGGCGCCGCTACCGGCCTGCTCGGCGCCAGGCGGCCCAGCCTCCGCGCAGCCACGCCGGCGGGCAACTGGCGGCGGGGCCCCGACGTTGTGCGCCCTGACGCGCGGCCGGAGCGAGGACGGGCCGGGGACGCGGGGGTCGGGGCGGGGGCGACGCGGTACCTGTGGGTCGATGTCGCCCACCGCGTAGTACTTGACCTCCCTGAACATCTCCTCGGGAACTTTGGGCGCCTGGTCCGACATGGTCGCGGCGGCCCGAAGGCTCCGCGGCGGCTCCCGCCCCGCCAGGCCCGCCCGCGGGGCTCGCTCCCGAACGGCGCGGCCCGCGCGGCCCCGGCCCGGTCCTGCAAGTCGGGCCCGCTCCCCCGCCCTCGGCGCCCCCGCCCGCGCCGGGCCGCCCAAGCGCGGGAGCCGCGCGAGCCCTGCGGGCCGCACCATCCCGCCCGCCGCCGAGGGGGAGCCGAGGGACGGGCGGTCGGCCGGCACCGCCCAGCGCCTCTGCTGCAGCCCGCGGCCCCGCGGACATTGGCACCGAGCAGCCCGCTCCAGAGACGGGGGCCCGTGGCCGCCGCCGCCCCCTCAGGAGGAAGCCCGGGGGTCGAGGGAAAACGCACCCCCCTCGGTGGGACCGGAGTGGGCCGGTCCCGGGAAAGAAGGGAACGCGGAGGCCCCTCCCGACAGCACGCGCAGCCGCAGGAGCGGCGCATGCGCGCAGCGAGGGGCGGGCCCGCGGGGTCGCAGGCTGCCGGCGGTGGCGGCGGGAGCGGGCCACTGGCCTGGGGCGCAGGGGAGCGGAGCGTCGCCGGCTGCTGCCAGACGGGACCCGAGGTGACGCCCCAGGCCCTGGAGCTCGGGTCCCGGGTCCCAGCTGAAGGGCGGGGGCGCTGGGCCGAGTCGGGGACGGAGCGCTGCAGACCGGCCGAGGCGCGCCAGCCTCCCGGACGCGGCCAGTGGGCTTCTCCCCATCGCCCGAACCCGCTCCTGTCTTGACCCGGGCCGTCGGAACCAGCACCGCTCTCCTCCCTCCCGGCACCGCTGACGCCAGCCGGCCGCCACGTGTACCCGCGCTCTGACGTCATCCGGCGGCGCCGCGGCGCGAGGAGCACGGGGGTCTGCGCGCACCTGCGCTCCGCGCGCTGCTCCCGGCTCACCTGCGCGGGGGAGGGGGGAGGGGGGTGGTGCAGCCGGCCCGACCCCAGCCTTCCCCGGGGAGGAGGCTTTGTCCTAGTCCTGAGAAGCCTGAGAATCGAAAGGGACGTGAATCAGGCCTACTTCTTCTTAACTGCTAAGCGGAAAGACATTTTTAAGTAAATGTTAGTGAAATTGGTCGAGAGAGAAACCTTGCAAAATTTATTGAGGCAGCCTCCTATAACGTTAACTCATTTTTGAGGCCCTTGTATTACTTCTATTCTGCGATAACAGCAGTTCTGAAAGAGACAGTTGACGTGGTTGGTTCATTGACCAGGACGCAATACAATGGACACTGGCTCTTTTTAATCGGCGAATACGGTTTTGATTGCACGCATGTATGTAATAAGTGATTTTGTACGGGCAGAAAGTAAGCATACATTAAGCCTTTTAAATATCCTGCTTTTTGCTTTTTTCATTTGTCTTTTGAACAGTCTGAAACAGCCCTATTCTAAAGCTAACAATTTTTTTATATAAATAATAAAAACATTCAGTACTTGCCTGAATGAATAAGAATGTACTGTCTTTCCTTTGAATACCCAAACATATATTTGGTATTGACCATTGTAACATTTTACCTTCCATGTTAAGAAAATGTAGGAGGGATAAATTAGTTCTAAGTAGCAAATCAAAATTAGCATGCCCTTTTATTTACCTGTGTGAGAGAACTTATTTATTGATAGCTTTTTTCTTTCTTGGTTAAACAGGAACTAAGCATGTACTTTTTTTTTTGCGGTTCACGGGCCTCTCACTGTTAAGGCCTCTCCCGTTGCGGAGCACAGGCTCCGGACACGCAGGCTCAGCGGCCATGGCTCACGGGCCCAGCCACTCCACGGCATGTGGGATCTTCCCGGACTGGGGCACGAACCCGTGTCCCCTGCATCGGCAGGCGGACTCTCAACCACTGCACCACCAGGGAAGCCTTAAGCATCTACTTTTATATTAAAAGACTTGAAACATACCTCAACCGGGTATTTTATTTTGTAAGTTAAAAAAGAACTTGTAACATTTCAGCAGGGCAAGTTTACCCTACTGTGACTTCTGATAGTCAAGAAGGCAGATTATGGGACTAAGAAACCTGTTATTTAAAATCTCATCAACCTGTCTAGAGATTGTAAAACATGAAATTATGCAAGGTCAGTGTTGTACACATATGTGGGCCTTATCACACCAGCATCAGGAAGGCCCTGGGTCAGTGGCCTACAAAGAAAACATTCGGGTAGAGTGTATCAAACACTGCTGCTTTGCCAGTAATGTACAAGAAACATCTTTAGATGAAATCTAACTTCACGTGGATAATGGATGTTCTGAGGAAGTATCAGTTCATTTAACAAAAGCTTTGTATTTCTTTAACTGACACATGTATGACCCCAAACACGACACTGAGCATTACTATATTTACAGTTCTCCCAACCAAGTTCAAAGCATGATCATTTTGTTGATAACCTTCAGAGAATAAACAGCCTGTTTAATACTAATTTGATAAATAGGGTAATACATTTCTCATTTATTTTGCAAAATTAGATAACGAAGCTAGAAAAAATAAAAGAAATGTGAAATTAAAAAATGGAAAAGTAAACTTGGGAATATTTAACTCAAATTGTACTTACTGGTGGGAACTTGAGGCAGTTATTTAGATAAGTATTTCCAAATGGCTTTTAAAAAATGCATCTCTATTGTATACAACAATCTCAGTCTTGCTCTCATTACGTTCAGCTAATCACATACCCCTTGAAGTTAGATATTATCAATGTTTAGTAAACCTTTAGTTTGGGTTTATAGACTACAACATTTAACCTTTCCACAAAAGGGAGTACTTAAGCTCCGGAGCTTAAGTACTTAAGCTACGGAGTACTTAAGTACGGAGCGGCTGGGCCCATGAGCCATGGCCGCTGAGCCTGCGCGTCCGGAGCCTGTGCTCCGCAACGGGAGAGGCCACAACAGTGAGAGGCCCGCGTACAGCAAAAAAAAAAAAAATAGGCTCCCTCGTACTCTGGTTGCCAGTTGAATCTGCTGAATGAGGAACCCCAGCAGAGACCCGAGAGGGGAGGAGAGTGGGACTAGAGTGTTTATTTCCCAGGCTCCTGGTCAGGTTGCCTAGAGATGGCAAAGTCATCTGTTCTATACAACTCTCTCCTTCCAGGCTCTGGTCAGCTTTCCTTCCTCTCATCCCTTTGGACCTAGGTTCCCTCACCATCCACACATCCTGCCTACACCTGTGTAGCAATCCCTTTATAAATCAGCTTTCTCAGATGATCCTAATTTGAATGTGCTGCTTCACTTGTGACCCTAATTATATAATGCACATGAAAACCTGGTAGGACACTGAGAAATTTTTTTCTTTCAAGTAAAATGGTATGTTTGCCCTCATAAAACTAACAAATACTTGGATACACAAGCCTAACACTAGTGGAATTATTAATAATAATAAATGCAGCAAAGATTTAGACAAGAGGTCCCTGTGTGCCAGGATAGCTGAGGCAAACTTTGTAGATGGGGCAGATGAGAAGGGAGCAATTCTTGGAGGGGAGGAGGCCACATAAGAGGTGTGAGGTTAGAATGCTGGTGTTGCTGAATAAAAAGCTGCACATTTTAGAGATTAAGTAATTGGCTATTTGATACAAGGGGAAAATGGGGAATAATGCAAAATAAATGCCAAGTATATGAAGATCCTGGAGTTCCACCAGAGCAGGTTGTTGAATTTGGGGTGTAGAATAATCCTGTAGCTCTGGTAATAGGAGAAAAAAAAAAAGCAGCTTACTGGCTATTGAAGGTTAACTGCTTTGTAGCAGGCTGGCTATCGAATTAACTATTGCTTCATTTATGGCCTTTGAAGTGTGTAAAAATAGTCATTACGAATTGTATTGGCCATTTGATGTCAAGCACCCAGCAGCACTGACATGCCAAGGAATCAGAACACATTTGTTTATAGTAGTTAAATGAATGAATGAAGTATTCAAATTTGGCGGAAGAAATTGTTCCCCATCAGTGGTTTATACCACCACCAAGCCCACATTGGCTGCATGTAATCTCTGGCAGTGTTCACAGGCGCCAGGTACTGCAGTGAGAGCCTTGAAACTTGGGAGGTTCCCTACAAACTGGGGCCACTCACTTTCCTGTAGATCAAGTGTCTATCAGAGATTCCTTCTGTGTCAATGATCTTTGGTGCTGGCTTTGAGGAATCCGTATTAACTCACCTCCCCAGAGTGGATCCCAAAAAGGGGCCTGGACCACGAGGCCCCATGTCCTCGTCAATTGCGTGGAGCGTGAGAACAACGTCAAAAGGATGGAGAGTCCAAAAACTTCCAGCAGGATACCTGCTTAGGTATTTTTAAGCTTGGAAACACCATTGCCAGTGGCACTAAGCACCACGACTTGAATCTAATTCTGTTGTTATTCTGAGACTCTTCCTGGAGGTTAGAAATTATATCCAAAGATCATGTTGATGGGCATGACACTTTCAGGTTGTGCAGAGAGTTGGGCTCCTTTGAAAATGTATCCTTAGTTTCATCTCAGATTGTTCGCCAATTAATTCATGAAGACCCTAGGCTAGGACCTGGTTCTCTACTGTTCCTCCTATTCAGATGTGTTTCCATCTCCAAGACACCATCACTCTCACTTTTTACTAGGATATGCTGGGGTGAGAAAGAAAACTGAGGCCTAGAGAGTTAAGTGAGTTGTTCATGATGACAGTTACTAGCAGATTTGGGGCTAAGTCCATCTTTTTTTACTTACTCTAATTCATTCTTTTAAAAAATTGAAAGAAGATTCGATTTCACGTATAACAGAAGTAGAAAAAAGGTAAACTCTAAAAATAGTATTTGTGGTATGGAAAGTTTAACTTGATATAGGTTGAAAATAGTCCACTGATTCATATTTTTGTAGCTAACATGTATTCATTCCTCTTTTGGAACTGGTTGAGGACGAAGAGATGATTGTTAGATCTAAGTTCAGGGTTTCCCTATTTTAATGTCTTGTGTCAGTTTTAATTTTCTGATTTAATTAGTTTCCTAATTAGAAGGGGTTAAATTAATTAACCTCATTATTTACTATATATTTAATGATTTCTCCTCTATAGGGAGTTACTTAATTTTCAATAATTGGAAAGCTATGACAAGAGGGAATACTGCCACGTTCTAGACTTATTGCTTTACGATCAGCGGCAGGAATAGGACAGATTGAAGGGAATTTTCGGTGAGATATCGGATACATGCAAAGGCTATTCCCCACATGTTCTGAAACATGGTACAGGTAAAAACATGAGTTAGGATTCAATAATTTCTATCAAATTAGAACTCAGTGGATGTATCCTTTATTTAAGGTTAAAATATCCTAGAACATAGGATTTGATAAGAAATAGCCGTACCACATGATTTTAGTTATTATACACAGTAAAACAATCATGAATCATTGAATAACGCTAAGTAATTCTAATGAAAAGGAGACTCTCTGACATTATCATGTGGTATAATGGCATATTAAAATATTGTTTT